TTCTAAATAGATTTTTCATTCGGACTTCTGTCATGGTGGCTCTGGTCCACGTACACAATCTTCTTCATGCACTGAATGAACAGCAAACTAATGTTTTTATGTTCCTCACTCTTGAGTATAAGATTTGAAAAGTGTGAAAGCTCCGAGTTCTTGCCCCCCTTTGAACCGCCCTTGTGGGTTTGTAACACCCGGTATTGGACCAGAGAATGTTTCCGAAAATACAGGGTGTCCCAAGAAACATGACAGTTTGTAAATAGTATAGAATGTCTTCTTTCATCATTTGTATAAGTTGTTTAATACCAAAGACAATGATAAAAATATTATATAGGAGTCATATTATAGTAAAATTAACTTCAAAGTAAAATATATTTGAGCAAAAGATTTTTTAAACGAAATAAACTGCAAACAGCCTTTAATATCTAATACAGTGTATGGATTCAAAACTATTTACCAACTGTCATGTTTCGCGTGACACCCTGTACTTGAGTAATTGTGTTTGTGTATCGTCTCAAGATGATTACATTTGATTAATTTATTGTTAAAAGTTAAGTAGGTTGATAATTTATTTTTCAATCGTTTAAATTTGAAGCTTTTTCAGTAATTGATTGATAAGTTCATCGACTGCGGTCTGAACATTATGCAAGTTGATTTACTGATTAGTTGTCTGAACTCAATTGATTACTTGATTCTATAAATTTTTAATTTGATTAATTGTCTAGAATTTAAGTGATTTCTATGATTTTTTTATTATTTGATTGTCTCTGAACACCTAGAATTCAAGCTATTTCCATGGTTTATTGATTGATTGTTCGTCTAATTGTCAAGAATTCAAGTTATTATTTCCATAAAAGTGATTGGTTGTTTGTCTGGAGTTTCTAGAATTCAAGTTATTTCCATAATATTGACGGGTTGATTGTCTGAACGCCTAGAAATCATGTTATTTCCATAATATTGACGGGTTGATTGTCTGAACGCCAAGAAATCATATTATTTCCATAATATTGACAGGTTGATTGTCTGAACGCCTAGAAATCATGTTATTTCCATAATATTGACGGGTTGATGGTCTGAATGCCAAGAAATCATGTTATTTCCATAATATTGACGGGTTGATTGTCTGAACGCCAAGAAATCCTGTTATTTCTATAATATTGACAGGTTGATTGTCTGAACGTCTATAAGTTGTGTTTAATCTATGATTTTTGACTGGTTTAGTGTCTCAACGCCGTAAATTAAAGTTATTCCCATGATTTATTGATTGGTTAATTTTCTGAAGGCCTAGAATTCAAGAAATTTTTGATATTGATTGATTGAACGCCAATTAAGTTGATTGATTGATTGTCAGGCTGCACAGGCCCAGCAGCAGCAAGCAGAGCCGGTTCGGATTGCGCATGAGCACGCGCAGTATCAACAACAGCAACAACCTCTACAACAACAGCAGCAAATACGGGCAGCTTCTCCCCCACATCACCTACAAGCCCAGGTACATCAAGAACTAGAAGTATTTGGTACATTATCCCAAAAGTTGAATTTTCGAATATGAAATTATTTCGGGTCTGAATTGAAGTGTTTATAGCACTCTATGGATTCCAGCCCCCCTTCTTCGTGAAGAGGAGAGGGGGGGGGGGAGTACATGCAGTTTTCCCAAGATTTTCTTTAATACTTGTTTTCATCATTGTCAGACCTACTCCTGAAAATCTGAGAATTGATGTTGGAAAACTGAAAAATATAAATTCTTTAAATTCGGACTCTGAACAATTTTTTCCAGGATGCGCTCGCGCAGGCAGCTCAACTTGAATTGGGACAGAATCCTAACGCGCTTGCAATTAGGCGCCCTTTCGATCCAACCGCGCACGATCTGGAGGCTAACTTCAGACTTACAAGGTAAGCCAGTGTATTTTTTAAGTCCACCTAAGGCCAATTTTAAAGAATTTAAATCTTGTTGATGATCCGCCAAAAACCGGTTACAATTGAGCGCCGGCTCAAATCTCGAAACATTTAGTACAATTTCAAGTGAAATTCTTTAAATTCGGTCTCGGGTATGTTTACACTTCTCTATGAATCGTTCAATCCCATCTCTTAAAAAATATGTATTCACATTAAGTAGAATTTATTTTGAAGTGTTAAAATATATATTTGTTTCATGAAAATTAAAGTATTTAAAATGTTTAAATGTATCCGAAAAATAAGTCTGAAGAATGTGATATTTAAGGTTTGCGGATCTGAAAGGCCGAGGCTGTAAAGTCCCCCAGGAGGTTCTTTTGAAACTTTTAGAAGGGTTACAGGTAAATATTAAACCTTAAATTGAGAAGAAGAATTTTGTAAAAATACGAATAACATATCTAACTCAGCAAGTGTATAATTAAACTAAAACATGATTTTGTCCAAATAAAACCAAATATTGATAGTACATTGTAAAAAAAAGATCGCGGATTTTATTTTAAAAAAGCTTCGTGGATTATCAAATTTAATGAAAAACGAATTTTGTTTGAGGCTAATTTTTGAAATTTTGTTCATTCGTAAACCTTCCCTGGGGTCATGTGATGTCCCACATGAAATTTGGGTCCGATCGGTTCAGCCGTTTGGACGTTTATTGGATACAAATAATTTTTATTAAAATCTGAAAACCTATCGGAAACTTCATTTACCATTATCATTCAAGCGTAAGTGTGGTAGCACTGACCTGTCACAGTCCAAAGCCGGACTTCCAGATCTTAAACATCAGATCGTTGAACTCATGGTACATGATGTATTGATACATGAAAGGCCATCACATAAACTCCTGGGGGAAAGTAGGGAAAGGTGAGGATATGTGACCATGCGAGGAAAGTAGAGAGGGTAGGATAAGGTAGGCTCAGGTAGTAGGAGAGAAAGTAGAGATGGTAGGATAAGGTAGGTTCAGGTAGGAGAGAAAGTAGAGAACTGTATTCATTTCTCAATTCCTAAAGAATGGAGAATATATTCAGGTAAGCGAAGGAAAAAACCCTTAAACACCATTTAAAATTGTTTTAATTTGTTTCAATTTTTAATTTTAACAATTTAGGATGACCAGGGACAGGAGGAACATTCCACTCATTTCATGCATGTGCAAATAGCTAAGTAAGTTAAATTATGTTTAACTGTGTTAAACTGGGTTAAACTATGTCAAACTGTTTTAAACTCGCTATGCTCCGGCTAGGGCGTTGGGGGTCCCCCCCCTCTGGAAGGCATTGTGAAACTTTGTTAAACTGTGTTTAACTCTGTTGAACTATGCTACACCATGTTAAACTAACTATGTTAAGCTATGTTAAACTGTTAAACTGTGTTAAACAGTTTTAAACTGTGTTACACTGTGTTACACTGTGTTACTCTGTTACACTGTGTTACTCTGTTACACTGTGTTACACTGTGTTACACTGTGTTACACTGTGTTACACTGTGTTAAACTGTGTTAAACTGTGTTAAATTGTGTTTTTAAACGCATTGATTAAAACTGATGTTAGAAAGACATAATTTCAAGTGTAAGCATGTTACCAATGGGTTAGTTGGCTCGCCAACCTAAGGATTCCATTTCTGTAGACTTCCTATTTTATTCTAATTTTGTTAGTTTAATTTCGTTTATAGAGTAGTGTTCGATCAACAATGGTACCCTATAAACCTTCATTTGAGAAACAAAAAGGAAGCTTTTTTTCAGTTAAAAATTATCAATCTTCATCTATTTATGCTAGGATTTTTCATTCACGCACTGTGATTTAAAGGTTGCAAGCTCTCGAGCAAAGACTGATTCGAATTTTGCCAATTACTTCTTTAAAAAAAAACAAAGCTAACAGTGCTAAAATGTACATGTAAAGGGCTACAGAAAAGCATAGTAAGAGCGATAAAATCAAAGCTCAAGGCATTACGACACTTCAAAGTCAATCCTGTCTTACAAGTCATTAAGACATTTTGTAATTAGGCTGAATCTATGTGCACGCATGATTAGACAAAGGTTGCAAGGGTACTGTGTGAATCGGACTCTGTAAATTCAAAGTCACGCAAGACAAAGGTTGCAAGGGTACTGTGTGAATCGGACTCTAGTCACGTAAGACAAAGGTTGCAAGGGTACTGTGTGAATCGGACTCTGTAAATGCAGAGTCACGTAAGACAAAGGTTGTTAGGGTACCGTGTGAATCGGACTCTGTAAATGGAGAGAAACGTAAGACAAAGATTGCAAGGGTTTTTGTGAATAGGACTCGGTAAATAGAAGTCACGTAAATGTTTAGAACTATTTTATTCTAAATTTGGTTTACTAAAGTTCAAATTTTTTATCCTTTCCAGAGTTGGGATTGGTATGGACGCCAGCATCACACCTCTCCGACACTCTGGGCTTAGTTTGGTTCAGACAACAGACTTCTTCTATCCACTAGTTGAAGACCCCTACATGCAGGTTAGTCAAGTTAGTGTAATAAACATGGACGTTGTGCCAATTTAATTAAGTGAGAGAGAAGATTTTTAGTGTTTTATTTTTATCATTCAAAATTTGGAAATTATGAAGAGACATCTAGTTGAACTAGCGTTAAGACCGGTTAAACATACAAATATCGCCAGTTCAGAAGAAATTGAACTTGCTGTACTAACCACCTTCCTTTTCTTTCTAATTATATCTCAATCATCAGTTTTAATAAAATGAAGACAAAAATATTTTCTTCGTTAAGGGGAAAATTGCGTGTGCTAATGTACTCTCTGACCTCTACGCCATGGGTGTCACCGAGTGCGACAACATGTTGATGTTGCTCGCCGTTTCCACCAAGATGACAGAGAAGGAGCGCGACGTTGTCATTCCGCTGATAATGCGCGGATTTAAGGATTGTGCGCTCGAGGCGGGCACAACTGTGACCGGCGGGCAGACGGTGATGAACCCCTGGTGCACAATCGGCGGAGTAGCGACCACTATCTGCCAGCCTAATGAGTTCATTATCCCGGATTCGGCGGTCGTCGGTGATGTCCTTGTTCTCACCAAACCTCTTGGAACTCAGGTAGATCAAATTGGTTTCCCTCGCATTTTATGGATTTTTATGGCACTGTACTGTACAGTGTACACCACAGTGTACAAAATCATACATTCTCATTTTTATTCATATTCTGTCCGCTAGGTGGCTCTAAATGCACATCAGTGGTTGGACCAGCCTGAAAGATGGAACAGGATTAAACTGGTTGTGAGTGAAGAGGTAATGATCATTTGAAGTTATTAAGATATCAAATAAAATTTTTTTTGAGACTCGAAATCTTCGGTAGTTATTAATACCACTCTAATATTATTTATTACGCAGGATGTGCGTAAAGCGTATCAACGATCTATGGATTCTATGGCAAGATTGAACAGAACTGCAAGTAGGCTCATGCATAAGGTAAAAAAGGCAACAAAAAACGGGTTAAATTTCATCTTAAAATGAAACTATTTAAGATCAACTTTTCTTTTAATTAAAAAATTTATTCTAGTTTCACCAGTTTTCTTTGATAATAAATCTTTTAAATTCCAAGTTGTTTTATTTTAGTACAACGCCCACGCTGCCACCGATGTGACTGGTTTTGGACTTCTTGGACACGCTCAGGCACTCGCCAGGAGTCAGAAAGCAGAGGTATTTTTAATAAATAGATAGATACGGGTCCAATGGACCTAAGCCGAGGTATTTTTAATAAATAGATAGATACGGGTCCAATGGACCTATTGCAGTTTGTCCCTAAACCAGTCTTCTGAATTCTGAACTAAACTTTTCAGCCACCAGGATTCAGATTCGTCATTAAAGGACCTGGATCTGGGTACTAAATAATAGGCGTCGAATTTGCTCCAACATTCTAGAACCCTCAGACATGCAAACTTTTAATTAAAATACCTTTATACCTTTTTACCGTGATGTAAGATATAAAAAACAATTATTTTTCCTTTAATGTGATTATGTGGTAATTTTAAAACTTCATCAATTTGTTTTTGATCATCAATTGAATTTGAATATCAAATAGAATTTTCATGATTTTTCTTGTTTTTTCAGGTTGGGTTTGTAATCCACAATCTGCCGGTAATCGCCAAGATGGCGGCTGTTGGTAAAGCTTGTGGTAACATGTTCCAACTCCAGCAGGGTAACAGTGCTGAAACTAGCGGGGGTCTACTCATCTGTTTACCAAGGTAAACCTAGATTCAACCATTAGATTGTCTCTATTCCTCAAGTCAAAAAAGATAACTTAAAAAGAAGGGCCAAAAAAAATATGTCTAAAAATAAAAACAAAGTAAAAAATGAACCAAAAAAAAAGAAAAAAGTGTTCTTTCTTTTTAATCTTTGTACTAGATATTTGTAAATATTGAATATAATATGTTCTGCATATTTATGTGATAAATGTACCCTTATGAATATCATGACAACAATCTGAAATTTTCGTATATACTCCGCCAGAAGTCCTGAAAATAATCTAAACAAACATCTTGTTCATTCTAGACCTCTTAAACGACTTGTGCATTACGTGCTTAAAAGAAACAATGGAGAAAACATCAGAAAGAAATACTTGTCGAGTCAGAAAATCGACGGTTTCCTTAAATTATTTAGTCAGATGGAGATATCAATGGTACTGTTGTAAATTGGACATTGTCATCATAGCAGGAAGAGTCACTTGAAATCACGCGTACAGTCCCTTTAATGAATTTGATATTAAGGGAGCAAGCTGCAGCGTACAGTCCCTTTAATGAATTTGATATTAAGGGAGCAAGCTGCAGCGTACAGTCCCTTTAATGAATTTGATATTAAGGGAGCAAGCTGCAGCGTACAGTCCCTTTAATGAATTTGATATTAAGGGAGCAAGCTGCAGCGTACTGCAAGGATATCCAGAAGGTTGAAGGATACCAGGCCTGGATTATTGGTATTGTGGAGAAGGGAAATAAAACTGCTAGAATTATTGACAAACCGAGGTATTTATTTATATAATAAACACAAGCTAGCGGCAGCCATTGCGCGATTTTAAATCGCCATTTCTGGCCCCACGATTAAAACAACTCGTTAATAAAAGTAAAATTGAGCGAGAAAAAGTCAAGTCCCTTTTTTATTAACGTTAATTTTGTAAAATAATAAGCTCAGTATAATATATTTAGTAAAAAAATAGTTTTGTATTAGAAAACATTTAGTTATTGATTTAAAGCAATGTACGCTTTTATCTTGGATTTTAACCCCTTTATTTACGAAAACATACGTTTTGGGATTGTTTATCAATTATTATATAATATATAAACTCTTTTTAATGAATTATAAGCCCTCTTTATGAAACGTTGTATTTTGGATTATAAGCCCTTTCTTTGAAACGTATTTTGGATTATAAGCCCTTTTATGAAACGTTGTATTTTTGCATTATAAGCCCTTTTTATGATACGTTGTATTTTAGATTTTAAGGCCTGAAACGTTGTATTTTTGCATTATAAGCCCTTTTTATGAAACATTGTATTTTGGATTATAAGCCCTTTTCATGATAACGTTTTACTTTAAACTATAAACCCGTATTTATGAAAACTTACGTTTGTAGATCAAAAGTCCATTTTTCATGAAAACGTACGTTTGTTATGAAATGTTATGATTTGGATTATAAGAGGTTTTTATTACAACGTTTTATTTTGAATATAAACCCTCATATTCGTGAAAACGTACTAAAACAACTTCTAATTTTGAACCTAAACCTCTTATTCATGAATGTTGCATTTTGGATAATAAGTCATTTATACATGAAAACGTCCTTTTTTATTAAATGTTGTATTTTGGATTAAAACCCCCTTGTAACGGTTTGGGGATAATAAGTCCTTTTCTCATGAAAACCGTTTTTTAACATGTTATATTTTGGATTATATGAGGTTTTTACGACGACGTTTTATTTTGAATTATATTCCACATAGTCGTGAAAACATATAACAACTTTTTATTTTGTATTGAAACATTCATGTAAACGTGAGTATTAGATTATAAGCCCTTTTTTGAAATGTTGCAGTTTAAATAAGTCTTTTATTCATGAAAACGTCGTTTTTGGACTATACGCCCTATTATACTACACCTTTTTATATTGAATTTTAACCTTTAATTCGTGTAACGTGCGTTTTTAGATAATAAGCCCTTCTTTTTGAAACTTGGTATTTTGGATCATAAGTCCCTTATTCATAAAATCATACTTTTTTGGACTTCGTCCTTTATTTATAAACATTTAGTTTTGGATAATCCTCCCTTTTTGTTAAATATCTTATTTTAAATAATAAGTTCCTTGGCACTTATTCATGAAAACATAAGTTTATGGATGATTCGCCCTTTTTTATAAACACATTTTTCCAGAGTGATCGAAGTGCCAGCGAAGGAGAAGGATGGCGAACTCTGGTAGAACACTCTTCATTCCAACTTCTTTACATCTTATTTTGATCTTTGTTCAAGATCAATTAATCTTAATTTGATCTTCGTTCAAGATCAATTAATCTTGATTTAATTTTTGTTCAAGATCAATTAATCTTGATTTGATCTTCTTTCAAGATCAATTAATCTTGATTTGATCTTTGTGCAAGATCAATTAATCTTAATTTGATCTTCGTTTAAATTCAACCATCATCTACCATAGATCAATTAGCGACCTTGATCAAAAGCCAACAGTGGACAGCTTAAAATCATGCAATACAATTTTTGCATTGATTTCGCTTCAACATCGCAATATGTTCAGGCCTTAATTGGTAATTTTCTTTTTAATTGTATAAAAAACTTTCTGGTTCATTCTTGTAATAGCGATGTTGTGCATTGCGAATTTTGCCATTTAACACTTAACAAAAGTTGTTCGATTTTTTAACGGTTTTTCAATTATGCCGTAAATACAACATGTACCGTATAGAGAAAATATGTATAAACAGTATTTTTTATCCTTTTCTTAGATGCAAGCCCACAGGGTTTAGTGTTCGGCCATTAAAACAATATTTTTTCTAAATTTGAATAAATGCATTTAAAATAATGTTTAAATTGATCGCGAGAACAGTTGTGTTCGTAAGTTAAATAATAGGATAAAGGAAGGAACCAGAACAGGAATAGTGGAGGATTATGAATAGGAACAGGATTAGTTGGGGGATAGGGATAGGAACTGGGATGGGATAATTGTAAGGAATTGAAACAGAAAAAGTAAAGGAACTGGAACAGGATAAGTAAAGGAACTGGAACAGGATATTGGTAAGGCATTGAAACAGGAAAAGTAAAGGAACTGGAACAGAATAATGAAAAGGAATTGAAACAGGTTAAGGGAAGGAACTGGAACTGAAATTGAAACAGTTAAGTATAGGAACTGAAATAAGAACAGTTAAATATAGGAACGGAAATAGGAACAGTGAAGTAAAGGAACTGGAATAGAAACTGTAAAGTAAAGGAACTGGAATAGGAACAGTAAAGTAAAGGAACTGGAATAGGAACAGTAAATTAAAGGAACTGAAATAGGAACAGTGAAGTATAGGAATTGGAATAGAAAGAGTAAAGTAAAGGAACTGGAATAGGAACAGTAAAGGAACTTGGATAGGAACAGTAAAGTAAAGGAACTGGAATAGGAGCATTAAAGTAAAGGAACTGGAATAGGAGCATTAAAGTAAAGGAACTGGAATAGGAGCATTAAAGTAAAGGAACTGGAATAGGAACAGTAAAGTTAAAGAACTGGAATAGGAACAGTAAAGGAACTTGGATAGGAACAGTAAAGTAAAGAAACTCGATTAGGAACAGTAAAGGTACTGGAATAGGATTAGTAAAGGAACTGGAATAGGAATAGGAACATTAAAGTAAAGGAACTGGAATACGATTAGTAAAGGAACTGGAATAGGAACAGTAAAGTAAAAGAACTGGAATAGGAATAGGAACAGTTGAGTAAAGGAACTGGAATAGGAACAGTACAGAATAGGAACTGAAATAGGAACAATAAAGGAACTGGAATAGAATTAGTAAAGTATAGGAACTGGAACGCTTTATTTAAGCTCTTTATCAAAGAAAATGTGGTGAAGAAAACATATTTCACTACTAATTATTTAAAATCAACTGACTCTAGTTATAAAGTCATGTCAGATCTACAATGGTACCCTCACAACCTTTGTCTGATCAAGAATACAGATGTTATAACCATAATTTTCTTTCTGAGAATTGATCATTTTCAATTATGGTTTCTCTAAAAAGTATTATGTGTATTTCTGCTAAAACAATTAAGGAAATCGTCAGAATCTCACTTTTCATTGGTCAGAAAAAGAATAAAAGGGTGAATTAATAAAGGTCTGTGCCGAGGGAGGGGATGCAGAGCATCCAGAGCCACGCGAAATGATCTCCAAGCTAATCAAAATTATCTCCGTGTCTCATGCTACGTATCCCAGCCCCCGTAACTTTGTCCCAGCGTCCTACATTCTGATCTCCAAGCCTTATTATTTTTTTCTAGAAATCTCAAAATGATAATTTAAGGATACATTAACTATTTGTATTAAGAAGTCTGATTTAATTAAGATTAAGACTTCTATTTTTGTTCTTCTAAATTTTGTTTTGATAATCAGGTTGAGGATCGTGCCCATTTTTTTGGCATTGATAGTTGTGCCCTTGTATCTGTGGAGAAGGATATTGAAGGCTGATCGCGCCCATTGGTAGTGGTGTTGATAATACGAGATCCTGTCCTAGTTGAGGCATTGATGGCTCAAAATCGTGTCCTAGTCGAGACATTGATAGTTTACAAGATTGTGTCCTAGTTGAGGCATTGATAGCTCTATATCGTTTTCTAGTTGATGCATTGATAGCTCAAGATCGTGTCCTAGTTGATGCATTGATAGCTCAAGATCGTAGTATACGAGATTGAGCCCAGTGGTAGTGGAGTAGGGTATTTACTACAGGACTAAATTTATTTAGTTTAAGAACTGAAGTATTTTAAATGTTTAGCTTTGTACAATATAAAACAATGAGACCAAAACTTTAGCAGAAACTTAAGTTCAGAGACGACTGTAATAAATTGTTCCTGTCTGTTCTCTTAATTTTATAATTCACTGCAACTTTAAAAAAATTGTTTTTAAAAGATTTGTTCCGAAAATCGTTCGTTCAGAAAAAAAACTATAGTTTTTTTCAATTTCGATTGAACGATTTTAAATCTTTTTCGTTTGTTTATAATTAACGATCGCTTTTCATTTCTCTGAACAATTCTGGACATTTATCCATCGTTCGTTTTTTGTCTCTGAAAGACAACATCGTCCACGGAAAATGTTGTTCGTGGACGAAAACGATGTCAAATCTCTATAATGTTGTTCGTGGACGAAAACGATGTCAAATCTCTATTTCCTGCAACTAGACATGAACCTGTTTCTATTAAAAGAATATATGTAAAGCAGCATACTTGATTTAATAGAGGGATCGTCATATTATTCAAGTTTAAGGTCGTCTTTACAGTCTAATCCTTTGATAATAACCCTTTATACATTCGACTTAAAGGTTGGATTCTGTGAATACCGAATATATGTGCATCTCAGTGTAGAGAGAGATGAAGCTCAATGAAATAGGATTAGAAGAGTTATAAATGATCCAACCCTCTTATATTTACAATTATTTTATACTAGCTTCAAGTTTTAGATCTGAACAATGCAAAATTTACATCAAACGATTAAGACGTCATATTTCTGCCAAAAATTGCGAATATATTTCTTAAATTATCTATCAGAGGTCCATTTAAATTTTATCGAAGAATGGTGAGATACCAATCTTCCGTTTAAAGAATTTATATTGGTTTCTCCAGCGCCAAATTATTCTCAAGAATCCCACTCCGCGGCTTTAAACGACGGAGGATATCCCCCGGCGGCCCGTCCCGGACACAGCGGTTCAAGGGAGAACCAGTTTCGGCCAGGTCTGACCTACCGGCACCAGGAAGAGCCAGCAAACTGTTGCGCATTTTCTCATTCCATCTTCGGAGCAGGGGGAGGAGGGGTCTCACTCTGTTTGTGGACCCCCCCTCCACCACACCCTACTCCACACTCCTCATCTACTTAGACCTTAGCCACCTGCCACCCCCTGTCAGAGAGCACCTTTATATTGTGCTACTGAGTAGGGGGTGAGGAGCGGGTTTATCAGGAGTTTCAAGAAGAAGTCGTCTGAAACCCAACAGGTAGTAGCAATTGTTGTGTACGATTGTACGGAATTTGTACTGTCTGTTTCCTAATATTTGAGATTACGTGAAACTAAACTTATTTTTTCTTTGTTAAATTATAAATAAGTTATAAAAAGACTTTAATCAAAGTAGAAGACTTCATGTAACCTTGGGAACGTCATATAAACAGAGTTTTAGGTCGTCTTTACAGTCTCATCCTTTGTGGGTAACCCTGCACGTTATAAATTATAATTAAAACACGCATGATTTTGTTTTTCTTTATTCTTCATATTGACAATATTCTAGTAGTTATTATTATGTATTTTATGTTATTAGTAAAAGCACTTTTTTCTGTGGACAAGACTGATTTAACAGTTCTGAGATGTTTTTACTTTCTTTGAAGTTGATTCTCTTTTCTTATCAATCGTTTCTCTTTCATTTTATATTATTATCATACCCCCCCCCCCCTTTTCTTTAAATTTGTTGCTTTTACACTACACGTATTATCTGAAATAAGATTGTAGTATTTCCACATTTTTAAGACCAAAATTTATATTTTCTATGTTGTTCTATAATTTGTGTTATTCTGTCGCGTCGACTCGACAGCTTGTCTTCAAAACATACTATTTTACCCCTCAAAATGTTTCCATATTTTTCAAAAAAGTTTTATTTAAAACTTTTATATTAACTTCCAAATAACATATTCGAATTTGCACATGCATTATTTGCACATTCATTATTTGCACATGCATTATTTGATCTGAAAACATTTTCAAGATTCTGAACTTAGGATTTTTTAGTTCAACTGAGTCTATTCATTTCTTTGTCCTTTGACAAAAAATGATTTATTTTGCTTGTGTATTATTTTATTCTATTTTTCGTTTCGTTTTTGTATATAAACTATAAAGCTAAGACTTGGGATTTTTTTTAAACCATGAAACCTTTTGAGTAAGTAAGTTATCATTTATTTATGAATAATAACAAAAACATACAAATTAAGTGTTTAAGGAGAAAATATTTGAAAACCTCCAAAAAATAGAGGTTGTGGGAATATATTCCCCCATTTCTAAAAAAACATAAAAAACATAAATAAAAGGAAAAGGAAATCATGAAAGCCATAAACCCCCCAAAAATGCAGTAGAAAGGCAGGATTTTCTTTGGCTGAGCTGCCCATAAGCAGAAAATGGAATTGAAAACGCATTATACAAAAAAGAGTAGATAGAACCCATAAAACATTTACTGAGTTGCATTATTCCAACCTGACTCTCCTCACAAATAAGTCAATTGAATTTAAATCACTCAGATATTAAAAGTTTTAAATATCGAGTTCGTAATTTCTCCATATATGAACAGATAGAAGTATAATTAGTAGCGATCAAAACCGAATTCAAATCTGTATCAGCCTAACAAGCCTCATTTAAATTAGATTTTTTAGTCCACAGACTATATGAAGCCAATTTTCCGAAAAAAAAGACTTTTCTTTTTTCCGTTGATTATTCTTTTTTCCTCATTTTTTATTGTTTTTTCTTTAATTTAAGTTCTTTCATTCAACAATTTAATTAAAATTCATTTTCCTGTCATGCCGTAGGATTTGTTTTTATATCTTAATTATAAAAACAGTAACTTATTTGATGATTTAATCCCTCGTGTAACAATTTAATCTTATTCCAAAAATAATTAACATGAAAATACAAAATGAACATTAAAAAAGCTAAAACATTCTAATGAAAAAAAGGTCATATTCATAAATTGTACTTTTGAACCGCTTTGTTAAACATACTAAAGTATAAAATATCTAAAACTGATTAATCAGACAAGTCTTTTAAGGATACGGTTGGGAACTTTTGAATCGAAAGTACTTCTATATAAATCACTTCTGCAGTCCAGCTTTCAGCCTTGAAAAAAGAAGTAGCATACCTGAGCTACTTTATATCCCAAGGGGTAATAAAGTAGCTGAACGTCCCGCTACAAAAAGAAAATGAGTCGTTAATTGTGAGGAGACGATTAAGAGTTTCTACAGTTGAGAAGTTATATTTCTCCTGCTCTTTAAGTAGAATAGTTAGAGTGTAAGAAATAACAAGGAAACTTTACGTGACAATACATCTAGTTGACTAATCAGTCCTTGCACAGCTCGTCTACAGGGTGTCCCGATAAACATGGAAATTCCATGACGACTTTTATATTGTCCTAGATTCATGCACCCTTTTTTCATGAACACAATTATTGCAGTATTCCAGCTTAAATATCTAATATCGAGAACTCCTGGTCTTCAGATTTTCAAAATGTATTAAATTCATTTAATAAATCAAAATTGTCTTAATATCTAATATCTTCTTCAATTTTTAAGAAACAAGAAAGGTAGAACACTTAATAAATGCTCGTCAGACGTACAGCACCCTATATTTACTTTCTTTTCCATGTATTAAACATCAGATATCAAAGACGACTTACAGTTAGTCTCTCAATTTCCATATTTATTGGGACACCCTTTACGATAATAGAAGACAGTCCGACCTTTTAATAAGTTAATTTTAGATAGATTGAAACATATTTTCTTGAATCAATTGGTCTCAGATCAATTTATCTGATCAATCCCTCCGACATGAATTCTCAAATAATTTATTCTTATCAAATCTTCTTCCAATTCCACTAATCAATTCCTCTGATCAATTTATCTGATCAATTCCTCCGATGAATTCTCAAATAATTTCCCTAGATTAAATCCTCTGATCAATTCCTCGGATCAATTCCACTGATCAATTCCTTCGATCAATTGCTCTGATCAATTCCTCTTATCAGCTCCTGTGCTCAATTTCTCTGATCAAATCCCAGAATCAAAGTGTCGATCTAACGACCAACTAGTTCTTCTCTTAAAACCTATTGCTTGTAACGCTTAAAGCAACTCAGAAGAGATGTTTTTAAGCTAACGCGCGTTTGGCAAGAAAACTAGACAAAGTTTCAAATTCAAACAGGTGAATTAAGTCAGAAAAGTTCAACATCGTTATTTCATTAACTTTAATCTAAAATGATATTTTTGTGCTAAGTCAATCAAACATTTATGCAAATGGACATTCTGTATTGTAAAGCTCTGAATTATTTAACCCCAGATTATCTCACTTATCCACGTCAATTACCAATATTTGTCCCCCCCCCCTTCCTCCTAATAGTAATGGAATATAACAATAGAACCGGAAAATGATGAAAACGGGTTCTTAGGAGAGATGTTATGAAGGGTAAGGCTAGAAGATATGGAGGCTACAGAGGATAGGAAAAGGGGGAGTGGGAGGGGGGAGGGGGAGAGAGAGGAAATTCTCGGCCGGAAATTTTTCTAAGTTGAGCCACTTAACACTCAATAATGTTGGAACCTCTCATAAAGAAATTCCTTCGCAGGTAGTCAGTTAGATAGTTGGATAGTTAGATAGTTGGATAGTTGGATAGTTAGATAGTTGGATAGTTAGATAGTTAGATAGTTGGATAGTTAGATAGTTGGTTAGTAGGATAGTTGGATAGTTAGATAGTTGGATAGTTAGATAGTTATACAGTTAGATAGTTGGATAGTTAGATAGTTGGTTAGTAGGATAGTTGGATAGTTAGATAATTGGTTAGTTGGATAGTTAGATAGTTGGATGTTGGATATTTCGATAGCTGGATAGTTAGATAGTTGGATAGCTAGATAGTTATATAGTTAGATAGTTGGATAGTTAGATAGTTGGTTATTTGGATAGTTGGATAGTTGGATAGTTAGATAGTTAGATAGTTAGATAGTTGGATAGTTAGATAGTTGGTTAGTAGGATAGTCGGATAGTTAGATAGTTGGTTAGTTGAATAGTTAGATAGTTGGATGTTGGATATTTCGATAGCTGGATAGTTTGATAGTTATAGTGTATAAAAAGTTAAGTGTGGAGTTAGAAAGTTAGGTGAATAGTTGGATAGTTAGGAAGATAGTTGGATAGTCAGATGGATAGTTGGATAGTTAGGAAGATAGTTGGATAGTTTGTTGAATAGTTTAATAGTTGGATAGTTAGGCGGATAGCTAGGCAAACCTGTAACACTTGTAACACTTTTAACAAATTAAAATAATACATTTGCCCCCTTGGAAGTCGGATGACATAGGATGTAACCTATATTTTAAGTTTCCTGTTTCACAGTTTTATGGATTTCACTGTAAAGTATATTAAACAATATATATTATATATTATATATGATAAATATATCGAATATATCTTTATACTTATAGAAATATATTTCGTGCACTTTAGGATTCCTTTCTTCCATTTAAACCCTGGAATCTGATTACTGGACATTCAACAATTTATATCCAAATATATTCCCTTTATTTAATTTTCTTCAGTTTGTCTTCTTTGTCTTTGTGCTTCTATTAAATTTTTGGGTTGTCTCTCTCTCTCTCTGTGTTATTTTATTTGTTTCCAATAAACGCCAAAACGACTGAAGCTATCAGGCCCAAATATTTTGTGGCAACTTACATGACCACAAGGAAGGCTTACGGCTTTGTCGAAATTGAAAATTTTTCCCGAAAAAATCTATATTACTGAACAGACCAAAACGTCAATATTTCCGTTGTACGCATCCAAAGAAAAGAAAATGAAATTGTCCCTTGAAATATTTTGAAAGAATGAAATGGTATAAAAGAGCAACTCTTCAAGATAATTGGAACCAAAACTCAGGATTAGAACAGGAGCACAGGAACTTTAGGTTCGACTAGAGAGGAGAAAAAAAAAGATAGGAAGAAAGAAGAAGAAAGAAAAATAAATAACTCGATAATAATGTGGTTTAAAAGAGTAGAAAAGTTAGGGAATGACATGAAATAGTAGAAGAATAAAGGAAAAAGTAGGAGAATAATAGAATAAGTAGGAGAATAATGGAAAAAGTAGGAGAATAATAGAAAAAGTAGGAGAATAATGGAAAAAGTAGGAGAATAATGGAAATAGTAGAAGAATAATGGAAAAAATAGGAGAATAATGGAAAAAGTAGGAGAATAATAGAAAAAGTAGGAGAATAATGGAAAAAGTAGGAGAATAATGTAAAAAGTAGAATAATAATGGAAAAAGTAGGAGAATAATGTAAAAAGTAGAATAATAATGGAAAAAGTAGGAGAATAATGGAAAAAGTAGAATAATAATGGAAAAATTAGGAGAATAATGGAAAAAGCAGGAGAATAATGGAAAAATAGGAGAATAACGGGAAAAAAAGAAAATAATGGAAAAAGTGGGAAAGTAGGAGAATACTGAAAAAAATGGGGAATAATGGAAAAGTAGGAGAATAATGTAATAAGTAGGAGAATAATGGAAAAAGTAGGAGAATAATGGAAAAAGTAGGAGAATAATGGAAAAAGTAGGAGAATAAGGGAAAATGTAGGAGAATAAGGGAAAAAATAGGAGAATAATAAAAATAGTAGGAGAATAATGGAAAAAGTAGGAGAAAAATGGAAAATGTTGGATAATAATAGAAAAAGTAGGAGAATACGGGCAAAAATAGGAGAAAAATGAAAATAGTAGGAGAATAATAAAAAAAGTAGGAGAATATTGGAAAAGGTAGGAGAATAATAGAAAAAGTAGGAGAATAAGGGAAAAGTAGGAGAAAATGGAGAAAGTATGAGAATAATGGAAAAAGTATGAGAATAATGGAAAAAGTATGAGAATAATGAAAAAAGTAGGAGAATAAATAATAATGGAAAAAGTAGGAGAATGGTGGATAAAGTAGGAAAATAGTGGGAAAGTTTGTAATGAAAAAAAGTAGGAGAATGAATAATGTAAGAAGTAGGAGAATAACGCGAAAAAAGAAAAATAATGGAAAAAGTAGGATAAAAACGTGAAAAATGGAGAATAATGGAAAAAGTATGAGAGTGGGTGATAAAGTAGGAAAATAGTTAAAAAGGTTGTAAGGGAAAAAAGGTGGAGAATGAATAATGTAAAATGTAGGAGAATAACGTGAAAAAAGGAAAATAATGGAAAGGTAGGAGAGTAATGGATTAAATATGAGAATTATAGGAAAAGTAAGAGAAAAGCAGGAAAAATAAAGAGAATAATTAATTAGAAAATATTAGATAAAGATGGATAAATGGAAAAGTATGCTTACTAGAACAAAATTTTAGTTTTATACCATAACTCAACAAATGTTAGCGGCTCGGAAGATATATTGAGAAGCCTAAACTAAATCTGAAATTGTAGAGAAATAGAAATAGAAGGAAAAAATGAAGAAGAAAAGCTTATGGTCCTACCCTTTCCCGTTGAATATCCCCCCCCTCACCCATACATGTAAACCCTTTCCCGTTGAATATCCCCCCTCACCCATACATGTAAAACCTTTCCCGTTCCCTAATACCTCTTACGATATTTATCTTAGGGGCTAAATGACTATTTTATTCAATGAAAGATAGACAGGTAGACAGAGAATCTAGATATTTAAAGTAGTATTCTGTCTGTCTACTTGTTTGTTTATTTGTATGTAAGATCAAAACTTATGAAGCCGCGTGGACAGATTTCTCTCAAATTTTGATTAAGGGATTCGTTAATAAAACCCCGAGAATATTTTGATCTTGGTTTGAGTTGATCTAAGCTAGTTGACTTAAATAGTTTAAAAAGTTTAGTTTAATGGCAAAGCTGGGTTACCAAACAAGTACGTAATATTCTTAAACAGAGTTTGATTACATACCTCCTAATAGAAGCAGTACAGACCTACATTACCGATTCACAACGGTACCCTTTAAACCTTAATTTATTCAACAAGAAACAGTTTCTTGTTTCAGTAACAATTAGAAGAAATTAACCGACTTATACACTTTTCAAGTCAGAAAACAACCAATTGTTTTCCGCATTAGGCATTAAATTAAGGTTTCAAGACTTTCAGACGTGCCACTCTATTTTGAAAATGGAGGACCACCTAAAATTATATAGACAATCCCTTTAAAGGTGCCGATTTCGGTGAAAATTTTTAGACGCTTCTAATGAGACCTTTTTATCAATGTGTTGGTAAAAAAAACTTTGGACAATACCAAGAAATACAGGCAGGCTATGCAGTAGTCGGGCTGCCTTATTTCCGCGTCTTTTTCAAATACTTTAGTTTTCATCTTTTTATTGTTGGCATTGTTGTGTGCTAGTGTTTATGTATATTTTAGCTTAAGATTTGAATGGTTGAATTGAAAAGATAGGTTTCAAAGTTTTATACCTAATCTCCAANCTACTAAAAAGTATCAGATAGAACTGTAAAATACAGATCCTACTAAAAAGTATAAGATACAGATAAAATACAGATAAAATACAGATTCTACTAAAAAGTATCAGATAGAACTGTAAAATACAGATCATACTAAAAAGTATCAGATAGATCTGTAAAATACAGATCATACTAAAAAGTATCAGATATAACTGTAAAATACAGATCCCACTAAAAAGTATCAGATAGAACTGTAAAATAAAGATCCCACTAAAAGTATTAGATAGAACTGTAAAATACAGATCCCATTAAAAAGTATCAGATAGAACTGTAAAATACAGATCCTACTAAAAAGTATCAGATATAACTGTAAAATACAGATCCCACTAAAAAGTATCAGATAGAACTGTAAAATAAAGATACCACTAAAAGTATTAGATAGAACTGTAAAATACAGATCCCACTAAAAAGTATCAGATAGAACTGTAAAATACAGATCCCATTAAAAAGTATCAGATAGAACTGTAAAATACAGATCCCACTAAAAAGTATCAGATATAACTGTAAAATACAGATCCTACAAAAAAGTATCAGATAGAACTGTAAAATACAGATCATACTAAAAAGTATCAGATAGAACTGTAAAATACAGATCCCACTAAAAAGTATCAGATAGAAAGTCCAGTTAAGACTCCCTGAACTTTTTTACAGTTTCTCGTTTATCGCGGTACGTTTTTATTAGTATTTAACATAAAATTGACAAATTTCAAGAAAATGTGAGTAATTGTCAGAAAATTCGCTCCCATATCAAAAAGTATCACCGGGCTATTGTATTATCATTTTGTGACAAAAATTGGACGTAATTCTTATAAATGTTTAGAATGGGGTCAAGGGTTGGAGAGTATGTGTCTAGAACCAAGATTGGGGCATACTTCCACTCCGCCAGGTACCTTACTTTACTCCGCCAGGTACCTTACATTGTTCCGCCATGTACCTTACTTTACTCCGCCAGGTACCTTACATTTTTCCGCCAGGTTCCTTACTTTACTCCGCCAGGTACCTTACTTTACTCCGCAAGGTACCTTACTTTACTCCGCCAGGTAACTTACTTTACTCCGCTAGGTACCTTACTTTACTCCCCCAGGTACCTTACATTGCTCCGCCAGGTACCTTACATTGCTCCGCCAGGTACCTTACATTACTCCGCCAGGTACCTTACATTGCTCCGCCAGGTACCTTTCTTTACTTCACCAGGTATCTTACTCTACTCCGCCAGCTACCTTACTTTACTCCGTGAGGTACCTTTCTTTACTACGCCAGGTATCTTACTTTACTCCGCCAGGTAACTTACTTTAATAACTAGACTATTAGGTACCTCACCAAATACTCCGCTAGGTAAATAACTATACTCAGCCAGGTAACTAAGTATGTGTACTCCGCTAAGTAACTCACTACATGCTCTACCAGATACCTTACTATACTTCGCTAGGTAACTAAATATACTCCCCCAGCCCGCCAGCTAACTAAATATACTCCTCGAGAAAACTAATTATATACTCTGCTAGGAAACTAACTATATACTCCGCTAGGAAACTAGCTATAAACTCTGCTAGAAAACTAACTATATACTCTGAAAGGAAACTAGCTATATACTCCGCTAGGAAACTATCTATATACTCCGCCAGTTTACTGACTTTATACTCCGCTAGGAAACTAACTATTTACTCCGCTAGGAAATAACTATATACTCCACTAGGAAACTATTTATATACTCCGACAGTTTACTGACTTTATACTTCGCTAGGAAACTAATTATTTACTCCGCTAGGAAACTAACGATATACTCCACTAGGAAACTTACTGCATACTCTGCTAGGAAAATTCCGCTACCGATCTATTTATACTTCTTTGATTATTGATAATAATGTTTATATATTTAGGGAGTCTAGAAAACTGGTTTTGATTATTGTTGCAATCGCTCTTCTTCTGGATAATATGCTACTAACAACCGTAGGTAAATTCCGCTCTCATTTAATCCCTCCTCCTCAGTTCAATCCCCTCTCCAGTTCAATCCCCCTCTCCGGTTCAATTCTCCTCTCCAGTTCAATCTCCATCTCTCCATTTCAATCCACCCTCTCCAATATAATGCCACTTCTCCAGTTCAATTCCCCCTCTTAAGTTACCATCAGATAGAACTGTAAAATACAGATTCTACTAAAAAGTATCAGATAGAACTGTAAAATACAGATCCTACTAAAAAGTATCAGATAGAACTGTAAAATACAGATTCTACTAAAAAGTATCAGAATATATTTCGTGCACTTTAGGATTCCTTTCTTCCATTTAAACCCTGGAATCTGATTACTGGACATTCAACAATTTATATCCAAATATATTCCCTTTTTATATTATATATATATATATCTACTAGGGATGGGATGTTGGCAGAAAGGTATAATATATCCAAATTATGTATATATCTTTACTAGGGATGGGGATGTTGGCAGAAAGGTATAATATATCCAAATTATATATATATATATTTACTAGGGATGGGGATGTTGGCAGAAAGGTATAATATATCCAAATTATATATATAAGGATTGGGTACAGTATACCAATGTTTTTATAGGATTGGGTACAGTATACCAATGTTTTTATAGGATTGGATACAGTATACCTATCCCTCCCCTCCGATCCCCTCAATCTACCACCTACATCCCTTTGTGTTATTTCCTATCCCTCACCCAACCCTTCTCATCCTAGTTTCTAAGATTAAGAGCGTTGAGTGCACTATATAAGGATGGTTTATTACTCCATTATTATTGTTTTTAAAGATGGCCGCCAACCGCCCTAAGAAAACTTGGAGGATTGCCGCCAAAAATTGGGATTAGGAGGAGGGGAGGGATAGGGGGGGAAATGAAAAGACAAATATTAAGAAAGGGGTAAAGGAGCCATAATATAGATTTGATATTAAGTGTTTATCGGAATTAAGGGAAAACTATAAAATCTGGACATTAGCCGGAAAAGAATCGTGGATTAGTTGCTGATACGGGGGTTAAAAGGGGAACCTAAAAAGATTTAGAGAAGGGGAAGGGGACCGATGGGTGGGGAGGGGGCTACAGGAGATTTTCCCTAGGGAGACATAACCCGCTGATATGAGTTCTCATTATACAGTTCGCACTAGGGGGGGATACATTCATCATACACAATTTTATTACTATTATTATTATTATCATGAATTTCATCATTATTTTTATTAGATATCCTAATTCAATAAGTAATAATTGATTAATAATAATTTTAGTTCCGATAATATTATTTAGTTCCGATAATATTATTCTGATAAAATTATTTAGTTCCGATAATATTATTTAGTTCCGCTAAAATTATTTAGTTCCGATAATATTATTTAGTTCCGATAATATTATTTAGTTCCGATAACATTATTTAGTTCCGATAACATTATTTAGTTCCGATAATATTATTTTTTCCGATGACATTGTTTAGTTCCGATAATATTATTTAGTTTTGATAATATTATTTAGTTCCGATAATACCTGGATTTCTTTATGATATTCGGCACCGACATCAAACACCTGCTCCAACAATTACAGTAAGTTATAAAAAACATTATTTTAACATTTTTCTCCAATCTTCACCTTTTTTAACATAGATGTTTTCTTATATATATATATATGAAATATATATAAAATCATTTTTTAGTGCATTTTCTACATTGATGAGACCGTTCGAATATTTCTGAAGTAAAATTGTTATTCCAAAGGGAATTAGATATATTTTGAATTTTTGTGTTCTTATTTTAGTTTCAGCTTTGGACCAATATTTCTTTCTATCTTTGCAATTTAATAACAAACTTATTTATCTATAAAATGTTCGCAAATCAAAATTGTCTTAATATTGTTTCTAAAATTATTTTTCTGGTTTGCATAAGTTGTTGATTAAAGATATTTTAAAATGTATGCAAACTGATTATTAAAGTTATCTTGCACAATAACCACAATTGAGCGCATGGCACCTTTAGATTAAACCCCTGATATATCACATAATTTACGTTTGAAAAAAAAATATATTTTACCAATAACATTCTTTATTATTTATGTTATGTCATCATGTTGTTAACGGTTTTTATTTTAAATGAAAAATGAATAAGCTTTGAATTATCATAATATTATTTATACCTGTGTCCGAATTTAATGAATTTAAGCCGCGTCTCAAATCCCCCAAAAACGGGTTTCAATTGAGCGCTGGCTTAAATCTTCAAAAATGTAATACAATTTAAAGTAGAACCAACCATATTTGAGCCGCGGCTCAAATTCTTTAAATTCGGTCTCTGATCGGATGGAATATAAACTATAAATCTAAATATTATTTAGACTCCTGATTGGAATGAATATCCGTATAATGAAACCAACTACAACTACACCCTCCCTACTACCCTTAGTCCGGACGAAATGTGAGTATTTTTTTACAGCCCTTTGACCAATAATACAGACCTATGAATCCCCCAATAGAGGGACATTAAGTTACCTTACGTCTCTTGGAAAAATTAAGTAATCCGCTCTGCAAAGTAGCGCCATGGTGGGTGGCGGGTCAGGAAGTGGCGCCATGGTGGGTGGCGGGTCAGGAAGTGGCGCCATGGTGGGTGGCGGGTCTGGAAGTGGCGTCATGGTGGGTGGTGGGTCAGGAAGTGGCGCCATGGCGGGTGGCGGGTCAGGAAGTGGTGCCTTGGCATTTTAATTTTTGAATAATATATTAAAAAAACTGGAGTAATTCCAGTTTGTCTGAACTCTGAGTAACAGCATTACTCAAAGATTTAAGAATAGTTTATTAAAAAATATTTAGAGATTCCTGTATTCACAATTTCTGAATACAATATTACCTTCCGAACTTTACAGTGTAAAACGTTTATCATTATCGCAACTAAAAGTTTTAAACTTAAATAAAATATTTTGTAAATTAATAAAACTTGAAATGTTTTTTTACGCAGGAAACATCGAGAACTTCTGGAGGAAAATGTTGAAACTGGATTTATGTTTGCTTCTAAGGTATACTTCTGTAAAAATTGTTTTTCAATTTAAAATAGTGACAAAAGGACACTGGCGGGATTAGAATTGTTTATTAGCGACTAAACTTATACGGAATTTACACTGTCGGCTTCCTTATATTCACAAAATAGATTATTAAGTACAATAGGTGGCAACAGAGAAATGGACCAATTATACATGACGTCACAAGTGTCAAATATAACAAGGAAAAATGAAACTTTCTTACATTAGTTGACATGTTTTCCAAGATTAAATAAAAAAGTGTAAAAACAGAAAATAAAGAACACACAAAATTGCACTTATTTTACTGTAGGATAAGCACTTTATTTTAAAATTATTACTATTATTAATAAAAACTAAGTTGACACTTGTTACGTCAGAATACAGCTGTACTGAGAATGTATACAAATTCGACGTTGCCATCTATTGTACTTGAATCTAACTGTAAACTTGTTTCTTACTTTGTCAAATTATGAGTTTGTACTATCTAAGGCAGAATAAATAATTTTTACCTTGGGATAATAACATTTTATAAGTTTCCTGTCGTCTTTACAGTCTCATACTTTGTGGGTAACCATGTGCACAATGTACATGATGACAGAGAATACAAAACTATGATCTTTAGAAACAAAATTTGTTTGTTTGTTTGTTTGTAGGCAGTAGTTCAGTTGATAACAAATCCATTCGTCGGACCTCTAACTCATAGGTAAGATTTGTTCTTGTTGAAAGGGACTCGAGACAGAAACATCAGATAGATGTCTTAAATGTATTGTTCAACGCCTGAGATTCTCAGGTTTCTTCCTATACCCCCTCTCATATTTCCTTTACAGTCCCTTTAATACTTTCTAGTTCTAATCCTTTTTTTCTTTGACAGTTGTGCTCTTGTATTTTCATTTTACAGACAACGCCGAAAATTTGCTTCAAATTTTAACTTTTGAACAGTTTTGTTTTCAGATTTTAGTGTTTTTTTTTATAGGATTGGGTACAGTATACCAATGTTTTTATAGGATTGGATACAGTATACCGATGTTTTTATAGGATTGGGTACAGTATACCAATGTTTTTATAGGATTGGGTACACTATACCAATGTTTTTATAGGATTGGGTACAGTATACCAATGTTTTTATAGGATTGGGTACAGTATACCAATGTTTTGTGGTTTCGTCATCATGTTTGTTTCAACAGTCAGTAAGTATATATTTTTTACTTAAAATATGTGCTTCATATTATAATAATTGCATTCTAAAAAATCTAAGTAAACATCTATCTTAAAAAAGTACAAGCAAAACAAAATTGGATCGAAAAAATCTTTTGAAAGTAAACCAATAATTTTTTATCCGAATTGCATCGATTTAAAAAAATCTGTGGAATAGGAAGACAATAGCAATTTAAGTTTTGTTGATATTGTTATCAAGCATAGTAGTTGTAATTAACCAGTACCTAACATCACCTAATTAAGTTACATGGGTCTGTGTACACTGCACTATAGTCATCTTTCATGTCTTTTTGACAATTTTGAAATCATAACTTGTGCATTCGTCTTCTTATTCTACAGTTTTATAGGTCCTGTTATTCCTTGAATTTAGGTTAAAATTACAATATTTATCATGCTTTATTTGCTTCTGTCTCTTCCTATCTTGCCTCCCACTCTCCCCCCCCCCACTCCCCTCTCCTCATCAGTGTGTTCTCTTTTATCGTATATATTTGCGGTTTAAATTAACTCCTCAATATACAACAAGTAAAGATAAAACTCGTGTCAAACCTTCATTGCTGTCACACTTTACTTTATACTGATACTGTGTAGTGTATACACAACAGCACCACGCTATACACCAAGCATGATCAATATTGGAATTAAACCACCCGCCCATTTGAGGTTTGTGCATTAACACTTGAATTTAAAAGAATATTAAAATTGTTCATAATATCCTCAGATTGATTATAATAACAGAGAGCCTGTTCTACGCCGACTACGCATAACTCCTTTGGGCTTCTGCCTCTGGGTCATTGTGAACGAAACACACATAAATCTTGAAAAGACGACATATAGTGTCCTATCTGTTATTTTAAATAATCTATGATAACATCATATAAATACATTAGTGGCCAACCAAAAATAAAAATAAAAAATTGCCTTATTTTTTTATGAAATAATTTGTTTTGAATTCAGATTAGAAAACTATTTCCTTTAAATAGCCCCCTCCCCTGAAAAAAAATTCATTTCGGATAAAATGTTTAATACTATTTTGTTTAGTTTTCGCGTTTGGACGAAGTTACAGTGTTCTGTTTATAGCTCGAGCTCTCCAGGGAATTGGAAGCTCATGCTCATCAGTCTCAGGTAGAGATGGGCATTTATCACATTATCTCAGGTAGAGATGGGCATTTATCACATTATATCAGGTAGAGATGGGCATTTATCACTTTATCTCAGGTAGGAATGGGCTGGTCATTTATCACTTTATCTCAGGTAGAGATGGGCATTTATCACTTTATCTCAGGTAGGAATAGGCTGGTCATTTATCACTTTATCTCAAGTAGGAATGGGCTGGTCATTAATCACTTTATCTCAGGTAGAGGTGGGCATTTATCACTTTATCTTAGGTAGAGATGGGCATTTATCACTTTATCTCAGGTAGAGATGGGCATTTTACACTTTATCTCAGGTAGAGATGGGCATTTATCACATTATCTCAGGTAGAGATGGGCATTTATCAAATTATCTCAGGTAGAGATGGGCATTTATCACTTCATCTTAGGTAGGGATGAGTAGTTTTCACTTTATCTCAGGTAGGGATGAGTAGTTTTCACTTTATCTCAGGTAGGGATGGGTAATTTTCACTTTATCTCAGGTAGGGATGGGTAGTTTTATGTTCATTTTGGGTAGGGATGGGTAGTTTTTACTTCATCTCAGGTAGGGAAGGGTAGAATTTTACTTCATCTCAGGTAGGGATGGGTAGTTTTTCACCTTTATGAAAAACGAACTGATCTTATTTTTTAGCTTATGTTACCCCCGACACCCAAATTATTTATATTATATATATATATATCTACTAGGGATGGGATGTTGGCAGAAAGGTATAATATATCCAAATTATGTATATATCTTTACTAGGGATGGGGATGTTGGCAGAAAGGTATAATATATCCAAGTAATAAATATATATCTAATAGGGATGGGAGTGTTGACTGAAAGGTATAATATATCCAAATTGTATATATAAATTAACTAGGAATGGGGATGTTGGCAGAAAGGTACAATATATCCAAATTATATATATATATATCTACTAGGGATGGGGATGTTGGCTGAAAGGTATCCAGATGACAAGGAGCGAGGGAATGCTATGGGTGTAGCTCTTGGAGGACTTGCTCTAGGTGTACTCATAGGTAGGATTCAGTTTAACTTGTTTTTAGCCAGTGGTGGATTAGGAGGGAAGGGTAGAGGTGTTAGGGGAGGGGAAGCTTCTAGTTCCTTCCATTCGATTTTTAAGAATAGTTAAAAAATACTTAATCAGTCAATTTTAAGTTACAACTTACAGTTGCAAGATATCTTTTTTTAAATCGGTTAAGTCATCATTTTTTAGCAACCCTGACTCTTTTAGGGTTCAGTTAAAAATAAACAAAATACCATAGCAAATTATATAAACAGACCTGATTTGAATCATTTCGAAAATCTTTAAAGTTTAAAACAATTTTTTGAGAAAAAGTCTAAAAAAGTTCTTTCAATCTGATAAAAATCCAAATATCTCTGAAATAAACTTTTTTGCTGTAAAAATTTTAATTGGCTTAAAGTGTTGTTTATCTGTAGAATTGGCTTAAAGTGTTGTTTATCTGTAGAATTGGCTTAAAGTGTTGTTTATCTGTAGAATTGGCTTAAAGTGTTGTTTATCTGTAGAATTGGCTTAAAGTGTTGTTTATCTGTAGAATTGGCTTAAAGTGTTGTTTATCTGTAGAATTGGCTTAAAGTGTTGTTTATCTGTAGAATTGGCTTAAAGTGTTGTTTATCTGTAGAATGCACAACTTCAAAGTAGGAAATATATTTTGATTTTTTTTACATCATTATCAGTCCTAGGACAGATTTGACCAATAATATTTAATGAGCAATTATTACAACATTTTTGAAATTAAAAAAGACAAAGTATTTTTGAGAAAAGAAATAAAAAACTATTAGTCAAGTTTAAGAATGAGAAGTTAGATAAAACTAAATATTAAAGAGGGATGCGGGTAGGGGGGAAAAAACATGACAGATTGACCGACAGATCTAAACTTTTTTTCAGGTCCTCCATTCGGTGGATTTATGTACGAATTCTTCGGTAAAACGGAACCTTTCCTAATCCTGGCCTGTCTTGCACTAGGGAATAGATTATCTAGATACAAGAACTACTGCAAACTTCTGGCCAACGTAAAAAAAGATTATTTACTTTCAATTTTTTAAACCCTTGCAGAGATGGAATTTAAAGAATTTGAGCCGCGGTTTAAATCTGCCAAAACCCGGTTTAAATTTAGCGCCGGCTCAAATCTTGAAACATTTAATACAATTTTAAGTGGAACCAACCATATTTAAGCCGCGGCTTAAATTTAAACCGCCGCTCAAATTCTTTATATTCGACCACAGGTCTCATAATACAACTCTGTTCTGCTATTGATAAACATTTATTTAAAAGATTTTTTTTATTTAAGTGTAATTTCCTATTAAATGCGTAAGATTGAAAACAAATTAATTTTCAAAAAGGTCGGGTAAAAAATTATATAAACATTTTCTAAGAATTTTCATGTTGTTTATATTCAACAAGTCAAAGAATATACATATATTCAGTACGAAGTGAAAACAATAAAACCAATGATGGTAAATAAAAGGATAGATTTATTCAACAGTTGCTCTTTAATACATTGTTTGGTAAAAACTAAATAACATCCCTTCAAACTTATTCTGTGTTCTAATAGAAATAGAAACTTTTTGAGATTTAGACAGTTTAGTTATCTCTATCTTTTTTCCCGTTACATTTTAGAAGAAGAGATTTGTTACAAGATTTTTTTTCATATGTTTACATAACAATTTGTCTCTACTATGATTTTTTCCTTGTTTCGTAAGATTTTGAATTTTAATTTAAAAAATGAAAGTGAGAAGCGAAGAAAGGCACGTCATTTCTTAACTCATAGTCTTAAAATGTTGTTAATCTTTTTTAGCATTTAATTTTTTTTCTCAATTTCCATTTTAATTGGGACACCAATTGGGCTTATTTTTTATATTTAAATTTATAAAATACGTTCTGATTTAAAAGCAATTTTCCTGGTAAAATACGGTTCAATTCTTGATAATCTGTATTCTCCAGCTGACGGATGTCTCCAGCTTCTAATCCTGCAGCCTGGAGTAAACAAAATGGAGGAGGAGAATGCCCCCAGTCTCAAGGTATTATTTCACTGTTAAAATGCCCCCAGTCTCAAGGTATTATTTCACTGTTAAAATGCCCCCAGTCTCAAGGTATTATTTCAATGTTAAAATGCCCCCAGTCTCAAGGTATTATTTCACTGTTAAAATGCCCCCAGTCTCAAGGTATTAATACACTATTAAAAGTTTATTTATTATTTATCTAATTCTCTAAAATGTTCTTCAAAAATTCATCATTATTGTTCATTATACCCAAATGAAAATTATTTATTATCTTTACAAACTGATATTTTAAACTTAGACTATAACAGAATTCATAGTTTTAAATATCAAAGGTCTAATACATTGTGTTGTAAAGATATAGAGATTATAAACTCAGAGCTTGGGACAAAAAAAATCAGCTTTTAATATATTTTTTTTAAATTTAGGAATTAATATCGGACCCGTATATTCTGATAGCAGCTGGTGCAATCACCTTCGCTAATATGGGAATAGCAATGCTAGAACCTGCTCTACCCATCCACATGTAAGTATGGATTCAAAATATCTTGTATTTCAAATATTTTAAAGAAACAGACACATAATCTTATATTTTTGTTAAAACATTAGAAAATGGAATTACTTTTTTATAGATAAACAAGTATTTAAAAAGCACGGCCACAAACTCAATGTTCTAATCCCTTCAAAGTTGCAACCTAACTTTTAATTTGTTCAATTTTGATTTTGTGAAATCGAATTTAAAGAATTAGAACCCAGTCGCTGAACCAATAACCGGTTCCAATTGAGCGCAGGCTCACAACTCGAAACACTGATTATAATTTTAAGTGGAACCAACCATGTTTGAACCGCGTCTAGCCGCGGTTCAACTTCTTTAAATTTGGCCTCAGGTTGCAAAGATAAAGGGATTAGAAAAAAAGAGTTTGTGGCAAGAAGTCAGTTTTTTTGTATTAATAATACAGCCTATATCCATATATATATTATCTGTAGAATTGGCTTAAAGTGTTGTTTATCTGTAGAATTGGCTTAAAGTGTTGTTTATCTGTAGAATTGGCTTAAAGTGTTGTTTATCTGTAGAATTGGCTTAAAGTGTTGTTTATCTGTAGAATGCACAACTTCAAAGTAGGAAATATATTTTGATTTTTTTTACATCATTATCAGTCCTAGGACAGATTTGACCAATAATATTTAATGAGCAATTATTACAACATTTTTGAAATTAAAAAAGACAAAGTATTTTTGAGAAAAGAAATAAAAAACTATTAGTCAAGTTTAAGAATGAGAAGTTAGATAAAACTAAATATTAAAGAGGGATGCGGGTAGGGGGGAAAAAACATGACAGATTGACCGACAGATCTAAACTTTTTTTCAGGTCCTCCATTCGGTGGATTTATGTACGAATTCTTCGGTAAAACGGAACCTTTCCTAATCCTGGCCTGTCTTGCACTAGGGAATAGATTATCTAGATACAAGAACTACTGCAAACTTCTGGCCAACGTAAAAAAAGATTATTTACTTTCAATTTTTTAAACCCTTGCAGAGATGGAATTTAAAGAATTTGAGCCGCGGTTTAAATCTGCCAAAACCCGGTTTAAATTTAGCGCCGGCTCAAATCTTGAAACATTTAATACAATTTTAAGTGGAACCAACCATATTTAAGCCGCGGCTTAAATTTAAACCGCCGCTCAAATTCTTTATATTCGACCACAGGTCTCATAATACAACTCTGTTCTGCTATTGATAAACATTTATTTAAAAGATTTTTTTTATTTAAGTGTAATTTCCTATTAAATGCGTAAGATTGAAAACAAATTAATTTTCAAAAAGGTCGGGTAAAAAATTATATAAACATTTTCTAAGAATTTTCATGTTGTTTATATTCAACAAGTCAAAGAATATACATATATTCAGTACGAAGTGAAAACAATAAAACCAATGATGGTAAATAAAAGGATAGATTTATTCAACAGTTGCTCTTTAATACATTGTTTGGTAAAAACTAAATAACATCCCTTCAAACTTATTCTGTGTTCTAATAGAAATAGAAACTTTTTGAGATTTAGACAGTTTAGTTATCTCTATCTTTTTTCCCGTTACATTTTAGAAGAAGAGATTTGTTACAAGATTTTTTTTCATATGTTTACATAACAATTTGTCTCTACTATGATTTTTTCCTTGTTTCGTAAGATTTTGAATTTTAATTTAAAAAATGAAAGTGAGAAGCGAAGAAAGGCACGTCATTTCTTAACTCATAGTCTTAAAATGTTGTTAATCTTTTTTAGCATTTAATTTTTTTTCTCAATTTCCATTTTAATTGGGACACCAATTGGGCTTATTTTTTATATTTAAATTTATAAAATACGTTCTGATTTAAAAGCAATTTTCCTGGTAAAATACGGTTCAATTCTTGATAATCTGTATTCTCCAGCTGACGGATGTCTCCAGCTTCTAATCCTGCAGCCTGGAGTAAACAAAATGGAGGAGGAGGATGCCCCCAGTCTCAAGGTATTATTTCACTGTTAAAATGCCCCCAGTCTCAAGGTATTATTTCAATGTTAAAATGCCCCCAGTCTCAAGGTATTATTTCACTGTTAAAATGCCCCCAGTCTCAAGGTATTATATCCTATATCCTATATCCTATATCCTGTATCCTATATTTATATATATATGTTTATACATATCCTATATCCTATTAAGGATGGATGTGATGAAGAGTGCTAATTTACAGCAAGGATTAGCTTTCCTACCAGCCAGCATCTCTTACGCGATAGGAACTAATCTTTTTGGACCTTTGGGACACAGGATGGGAAGGTAGATTACATTTACATTTAGTGTTTCTAACATTCGCGAAATTTGACTTTCGCGAAGCTCTGATAATATTTTCGAGAAGTTGGAGAAGTTTTGCAAAAAAAATGTTTTTGCTATTTTTATGTTAATGTTTTGCTCGAACAAGAAAAATTGGAAAGGTAAAAACTAATGAATTTGCTATAAAACATTGAGTTTTTCGCAAGTTTTTCGCAAGTTTTTCGCGATTTTTGCAAAATTTCGAAAATATCGAGTTTTTAGAAGTTCATATTAATTTATCTCTTTTTAAAATATTTTATGGAAACTAAGTTCTAACTTGAATTTTAAAGGTGGAAAGCGTCTCTGATAGGAATTGCTATTATTGGATTTGCACTCATGTTGGTAAGTCTAAAAATCATATTTTTTTCACGAATGTTTTACTCTATGTTTAAGGCCCCGTTTTAGTTAAAGTAAAAAAGTATGCTATGAAGAGCTTTTATACTAAAAGCTGTAGACATTCGCTCCAAGCTTTATCTGCTGTTTCTGATACATCCCCTGCTCCCTCATATATCTCATGTTCCCTGATTTATCTGTTATTCCCTGATATATCTCATGTTCCCTGATTTATCTCCTGTTCCCTGATATATCTCCTGTTCCCTGATATATCTCCTGTTCCCTGATATATCCCCTATTTTCGATATATCACCTGTTCCCTGATATATCTCCTAATCCCTGCTGCTGTTCCTGATCCCTGCTGCTGTTCCTGTTTCCTGAATGCTGTTGGATTTCACTCACTCAACTTGGCTGTGATGATAAAGCCGTCACAACCTCCTTGAGTGAGTGAGATACAACAGCAATATCTTCAATGGAGTCATCACAAATATCTTCAATGGAGTCATCACAAATATCTTCAATGGAGTCATCACAAATATCTTCGATGGAGTCATCACAAATATCTTCAATGGAGTCATCACAAATATCTTCAATGGAGTCTTCACTAATATCTTGAAAGGAGTCTTCATAAATATTTTCACTGGACTCTACGACTGTATTTTCAGCAACAATTTCAACCAAATTATCATAAATTTTTCTTTAAAAATATTCATTTTTATTTAAATGTTCATAAAACAATCTTAATTTAAATCTTAAAAAGCATCCTTAAAATCACAAAAAGATTTCATATTGCAATCAAAAGTTATTACTATTTAACTATCTTCAGAGTGTCTTCAGTGTCGTTTTAAGAAAAAATTTCTGAATATAGTCATAAACGTTTTCATTTACAAATTTATCAAGAGTTATACTCATGTACATAAAACCTTTTTTAAGAAAACATTGATCAACATTAATTATCCCAAGTAAAATATATTTTGATTTTAAAACTTTTTTTCAACACCAATTTTTTTTAATTCAAAAACCTTTTTTTGTTTTTCAAAAAATTCATTTGACGATATTTATAATTTCTTCAAAGGGCCTGTGGTCGTAATTCAAAGATAGACATGCAAGATTTAAAACTGTATCATACAACTTTTCACTGTTCAACAATGTTTTTTCTATCTTAAGACGTGTTGAATTCTGATTTATGAATACCTTCAAAAATCTACAAGTTACTCGATATATTTTAAGAAAAAAAAATTTAAAATTAACAATTTTCAGCTTATAATTATGGATATCACACGTATCCTTGACCAGACACAGACAAAGGTTTTATGGCTCATGTTACCATCATAAATATTTCAGGTTCCTCATGCTACCAATATTCACCATCTAATTCTACCAATATTCACCATCATAAATATTTCAGGTTCCTCATGCTACCAATATTCACCATCTAATTCTACCAATGGCAGCTCTGGGCTTTGCGATAGGTAAACAACCAATACTAATTGCTAAATGTATCACTTTTCCAGGATAAATTAACAATTTTGCTATATCAAGTACTCAAAGTTTGAAACTTTAAAAGATGTACACCAACATATTGCAAAGATATAGGTATTTGAAAATTCAAAGTTAATTTATTTAAAAATTGTAAAGAAAATGGTTTGTTTGAAATGTCTAGGTATGGTTGACAGTTCTATGATGCCGGAGTTGGGTAATCTGGTGGATATCAGGTTATCAAAAACAGCAATTTTTTTCGACAATCAAAATTAGTACAACTCAAATAGATTATCAAGTACAAAAGGTGGCAACAGAGAAATGGACCAATTATACACAACGTCACAAGTGTCAAATATAACAAGGAAAACGAAATTTTCTCACATTAGTTGACATGTTTTCCAAGATTACAGCTGTACTGAGAGTGAACAAATTCTACGTTGCCATCTATTGTACTAGAATCTGTTTGGTACAACTGAGTATTGTACAATAGACAGACGGTCTAGAATTATAAAAATCATAATTTTTATTGACAATTAAAGTCAGGATTGTTTCATGGATCACTAGTCTGTCTAAATTCAATTTGAAGTACAGGATCAGAGACTTGAACGACCACATAAAACTCTAAAGTTAACGGTATTTAAGCTGGATTTTGTGTTATATGCCATGTATGTACAGGGTAACCTATAAAAGACGAGACTTCAGAGACGACTGTACAGAATTTAAACTGTTTCCTCAAATTTATGATTTTCTGCAACTGCAAACTTGTTTCTATCTTTGCGAAATAATAAAAGGTCTTAAAACGACTATCTTCAAGGCAGAAGATATAATTCAACCTTGGAAACATCAAATTTAAAGAGTTTTATGTCGTCTTTACTATCTCATCCTTTGTGTGTCACCCTGTATGTATTTGTTAAATGATAAACCAAATAAAAAGGTTAAAAAGTGTATATTTCCATAGAAAAATTGAAATAAATTCAACAATCTTTAAATTTAAGACATTTTCTTGCTGAGTCCTCAAGAATTTTTGGTTTGTAAGGAAATAATTTATTAGATTACAAAAATCTTGAGTGACTTAGACAAAATTCGTATTGATTTTGAATCTAGTTGATTTATTAAAGTTAATCATTTAATCCAAATTTCCCCTTATTGAAAATCAAAAGTCCCTGTTTAGTTCTGTTTTCTGATAAATAAACCTATTTATCCTATTATCTATTGATAAAAATATCGAAAACAAATATGTATTAAAAATATAGTTTATTAACATAATATTAAATAATATTTAAACTTATAATTAATAATGAATACAAAATAATTGTATTGATTTCGTAAGAGAGAGAGGGGGGAGGGGTGACTGAAGGGAAAAATATTGACTCTGAGGAAATATATAAGAAAAACCAATGGTTTGGTTGACGGTATAAAAAAATCATTTTTCTGTCAATATAACAATGGTTTGGTTGACGGTATAAAAAATCATTTTTCTGTCAATACAAAATTTTTTAAATATGTTAATTTTCTCAGAGTTTTAACGAACCTTTTGAAATAGCAACACGCAATTTTATGTACCCAAATAATCATTCATTTATGTTGTCAGTACATAATAGAATCGGGGGGGGGGGTTAAACACTATAGAGAGCAGTACAAATGTACATATTAATCTAGTTAGTTGTATTGTGTATAGGGTATGTTAAACAAAATAGAAATAATGATAATGATAATGATAAGCTACAACTGTACAATGTTTTACAAAAACGTTTAATTTCTCAAAAATATTTAAAAAATTCTCCTGGAAAATACGCCTTGTTGCTATACCTTGCGATTTCTATACGTTGGATTTCAATAATGTTTGACGCCGAGTGACGTGTCTAATTCACAAAAGTACCATTAATTATTTGATTGGTCAAGGATTATTATTATTTCTTTACAGATTATTATTATTTCTCTACAGATCATTCTTATTTCTCTACAGATTATTCTTATTTCTCTACAGATTATTCTTATTTCTCTACATGTTATTCTTATTTCTCTACAGATTATTCTTATTTCTCTACATGTTATTCTTATTTCTCTACTTTTTCCTCTACAGATTATTCATATTTCTCTACAGAAATGCTTGTAATTATTGCAAATTTGGTTTCAATATGTTTTTATTTTTAAAAAAATATTTTAAAATTACTTTCCAGAAGTCGAAAAAAATAAATGTTCTCATTCGAACTTTTGAAAACTGCGTCGGACATTGACTATTTTCGAAATAGAGGTGGCTAGCTAATATTCTAGCTTTTTAACACCATTTTAAAGACGAAATGACGTAAGGTGACTTGAAATTACGCGTACAGTACCTTTAATAACCGGACCAGAAAACCAAGACAGCCCTATGATCTAAGAGGTTCTAATTTAGGCATACTGCAGTCTATGGAGGGGTTTATGCTATAGGAGATATAGCTTTTTGTCTAGGGTTTGCTATAGGTATTATTTTATTTTAGGATATTTATGGCATTAAATAAAAAACAGATTGTAATGTCTCAATAAAAAATTCTGAATAAAAAAATTTCTTTTTTTACCTGTTAAATAAATATTTGAATGTTGTGTAGTAAAATTTTATTTGTAAAAATTCTTATGTGCTTAATTTAATTATTTTAGCATCTGGTATTTGGAGAGAAAACCAAAGTAAAGTATGCAAACTTTACTGAGGAGCTCCTGGAGGATAACAAACCTTTTAATGATACAAGATAGTTGATAACAAGCCCTGTAATCAAACAAGATAGTTGATAACAAGCCCTGTAATCAAACAATATAGTTGATAACAAGCCCTATAATCAAACAAGATAGTTGATAACAAGCCCTGTAATCAAACAAGATAGTTGATAACAAGCCCTGTAATCAAACAAAAGGTTTATAATAACCTCTTTAAAATTGATAACATCAAATCCACTGAGTTGCTAACATAATTTTTCAAATATATTAAAAATAAGAACGAGGTTGCAAGGCCTAAATATGCATTTTTTTTAAATCTTTAATTCGAATCTAGATTCTCAGATGATATCCTAAATGCTTTCAAAGAAAGAAAACAAAGCTTTCAAATTTTCATGAAAACTATGCTACCAAAAGTTTTCAAATGATTATCTTAAATTTGCAAAATTCTTTCTCTTTTTGTTTTCAAGAAATGTTTTGGTAAAATGTTTTTTTGTCGAGTGATATTTATTTTCTATCACTGATATTATACTGGAAGATTAAACATATATTTAATCATTATTTAATCGTATTCTTAAGCATTGTATAGGTTCCTCAGGGCAGCAGCATGCAGAGCAAAGCATGCCAGCATGCCCTGGGCTAGTTGTAAGGGTTTGCCAGTCTGGCATAGTATTAAGGACATACATTTTGAAAGAAATCGCATATTATCGTAGTTTTAAAGCCATCTATTTAATAGTTACTAAGTGGAAGCTAGATTTAAGGTTTTTTAATATATATTGTCATTTCCAATCTTTAAACCGATATCATATAATCAATTGTATTATTGACAACAGAAGTATTATTGTATGTATGTTCAAATAATGCCTTTAAAAAAGGCCAGAAATAAATATGAAAATCATTTTGAATAATATATTTCAAGAAGAGAGATCGAAAGAGTGAAATATAATTAAAAGGACTAAATTTCAAGTATCATCATTTTGTGGGTCCCCCTGTAGAGTCGTTTCTAAAAACATTCTATTTTGTGGGTCCCCCTGTAGAGTCGTTTCTAAAAACATTCTATTTTGTGGGTCCCCCTGTAGAGTCGTTTCTAAAAACATTCTATTTTGTGGGCCCCCCTGTAGAGTCGTTTCTAAAAACATTCTATTGTGTGCGTCCCCCTGTAAGGCCTCACTTAAAGTTTCAGATTTTGTGGCTACCCGTGTCCTCAAAAATCTCGTTTTTTGAAAGTCGTCCTTAAAGTTTAATTTTTAGTTGATCCCAGATCTATCTTAAAACGTTTCATTTTGGGCCCCCTGTAGAGCCATACAGGTACAATCTATTAATTGTGGGTCCCCCTGTATATCCATGCTCTACAGGTACAATCTATTAATTGTGGGTCCCCCTGTATATCCATGCTCTACAGGTACTATCAAGAAATATATATTTATATATATATATATATATATATATATATATATATATTTATGTATATTTCAGAAAACCCCATTTTGAAGATGGAAAAATGGCTGACCACATTTTTGAAATCCCAAGACTAGAGTTTCGGTGTTAATATTTTAACTGGGATACTACAGTTAAAACTGTAGAAAACTGAAAGACGACATTCAAGGAATGTTATTTGTATTTTTATGTTTTAATAGTAGTTTGAGAATCAAGTTATGAAGTAGAATGAGGCTGTGTATGTACACGACACAATTATTCTGGGTTTCATATCAATTAGACTATTTAATATAGCATTTAACACGAGTTTTAAACAAAAATCTAGAAAGCTTTGCAAAAATATAAAAACAAAGAGTAATCAATATTTATCTTGAAAATTATGAGAGGTTTAAATGCGNNNNTATCCATGCTCTACAGGTACAATATATTAATTGTGGGTCCCCCTGTATATATATGCTCTACAGGTGCAATATATTAATTGTGGGTCCCCCTGTATATCCATGCTCTACAGGTGCAATATTTTAATTGTGGGTACCCCTGTATATCCATGCTATACAGGTGCAATATATTAATTGTGGGTCCCCCTGTATATCCATGCTCTACAGGTACAATATATTAATTATGGGTCCCCCTTTATATCCATGCTCTACAGGTACAATATATTAATTGTGGGTACCCCTGTATATATATATGCTCTACAGGTACAATATATTAACTGTGGGTCCCCCTGTATATCCATGCTCTACAGGTACAATATATTAATTGTGGGTCCTCCTGTATATATATGCTCTACAGGTGCAATATATTAATTGTGGGTCCCCCTGTATATCCATGCTCTACAGGTACAATATATTAATTGTGGGTCCTCCTGTATATCCATGCTCTACAGGTACAATATATTAACTGTGGGTTTCCCTGTATATCCATGCTCTACAGGTACAATATATTAATTATGGGTCCCCCTGTATATCCATGCTCTAAAGGTACACTCTAATACTTGTGGGTCCCCCTGTTTATCCATGCTCTACAGGTACACTCTAATACTTGTGGGTCCCCCTGTTTATCCATGCTCTACAGGTACACTCTATTAATTGAGGGTCCCCTTGTATATCCATGCTCTACAGGTACAATCTATTAATTGTGGGTTCCCCTGTATATATCCATGCTCTACAGGTGCAATCTATTAATTGTGGGTCCCCCTGTATATCCATGCTCTACAGGTACAATCTATTAATTGAGGGTCCCTCTATAGATCCAATAGATAATGAAAATGTAGAATCCACCTGGAATTTATGTAGAACTAAACAAATGAGCAGTCAACACAGTGGATTCTAAGATCTTCAAAGATCTCATGAACCGTTTATGGGTTTAAAGATCTCCTGAACAATGGAACGGATTCAAATATCTCCTAAACCATTTGGTTTTAAAAATCTCCTGAACCATTTTGGTTTCAAAGATCTCCTGAACCATGGAATGGTTTTAAAGATCTCCTGAACCATTATGGTTTCATAGATCTCTTGAACCATGGAATGGTTACAAAGATCTCATGAACCATTGTGTTTTAAAGATCTCCTGAACCATTTGGGGGTTAAAGATCTCCTGAACAATGGAATTGTTTTTAAAGATCTCCTGAACCATGGAATGGTTTCAAAGATGTCCAGAACCATGAAATTAAGTTTTAAAGATATCCTGAAACATGGAATTGTTTTAAAGATCTCTTGAACCAGTAGGGTTTCAAAGATCTCCTGAACCATTACGATTTCAAAGATCTCTTGTACCATGGAATGATTTAAAAGATCTCAGGAACCATGGAATGGTTTCAAAGATCTCCTGAACCGTTGAATGGTTTCAAAGATATCTTGAACCGTTATGGTTTCAAAGATATCTTTGAAACCATAAGGGTTCAAGATATCTTTGAAACCATAACAAAGATATCTTGAATCCTTATGTTTTCAAAGATATCTTAAACCCTTTTGGCTTCAAAGATCACCTGAACCATGGAATGATTTCAAAGATATCTTGAACCCTTATGGTTTCAAAGATCTCCTGAACCATGGAATGGTGTCAAAGATATCTTGAACCGTTATGGTTTTAAAGATTTCTTGAACCCTGAACCATAAATCTTTTGATGTGGATAAGATGTTTCCAAAAACAAAGTGACATTCTTCACAGAATTTGAAATCCTTTTTATGAAGGTTGACGAATTTCAGATCAATGACAGATTAGCTTAGTGCCAGTTTTCCTCATTGCAATATTAGATTTTATTTAGAATGGGAGTAGGTAGGTCTAATGAACTTTATCTAGAGAAATAGAATTTATGCTTTTATTTTTTTTTTTTTTTTACAAAAAATTTTAAAATTAATTTGGGTAAAAACAGCATTGTAAATTCACATCAATAATTAGTTTTCATTTTAATTTAATAAAGAATTTTATTTCGAAATTGACAAAATCTTCTATTATAATTATATTATAATTCGAAGAAAGATATGAAAATAATAACATTCCTTTTTCTGAGATTCAAAATACTAAAGTCCAAAGTAAAGTTAGAATTAAAAATAAAATCACAACAGATTTTAATTTTTCACACAAGCTTAAATTTTCTTTTCATCTTGCTAGTCTGCCCTCACGACATCAGTTTCCAGGTGGGATGTGATTAGGGTTGGTAATCGTTTTTGAAAACGATCGTTTAACGATCGTTTTTTGCTTCGTTAAACGATCATTTTTAAAAACGATCGTTTCGTTTTCTCAAAAAAACGATCGTTTTTAAAACAACCCACTCGTTTTGAACTGTTAGAAAACGAAGAACAATCGTTTTTGAAAACGATCATTTTCAGAAAAACGATAAGCGACCGTTTTTTATACGATTGTTTTTAAATAAACGATCGTTAAAAAATAACGATCGTTTTTGAAAAAAAAAATTATCATTTTTACGACGTCCTGAAGATAGTCATAAATGTCGTCTTTAATTAGATTTATCAAATGTCGTCTTGCATGCCGTAGCAGTTATAAAATGTTCAGCGGAATTGAATTGAATTGAAGAAATTTGTTCTACTTTTGAGAGTGCAGAGCCGCCATGAGCCCCGCAAAATGGTCAATATGAACTTTAAAACCTAATTCTTTATTTGTTTTATATATGCTTGAAATTTGGCACACAAGAAATTAAAGTACAAGATATTAAAAATATTAAGTTTTGATCATAATTGTTTAGTTAATGAAAGGTCATCCCTAGAAGACTGATTTGATTAGTGATTGGATAAGGTAATGATTGATAATTACGTCACATAAAGATAATTAATTCTACAGATCGAAAGAAGGACTGTAGTCTCCAAATTTACGGTTATTATCAAGAAGGGTAGTCGTTAACGACTACCCTTTGTTAACGATCGTTAACGAAGGGTAGTCGTTAACGAAGGGTAGTCGTTAACGATCGTTAACGAAGGGTAGTCGTTAACGATCGTTAACAAAACGACGAACTTTATAAAAACGATCGTTTTGAAAAACGATCGTTTTTTTAAACGATCGTTTTTTATAACGATCGTATAAAAAACAACAGTTTTTAAAAAACGAACTTTTTTAAAAAACGATCGTTTTTAAAAACGATCGTTTCGTTTTTCGATTTTCCTCGACGTTTTCTTAACGAAACGATCGTTTTTTTCAAAAATCAAAACGTTACCAACCCTAGATGTGATACACCAAAGATGAGCTTTTAAAGCTTAAACCCGAGTAAAACCCGGTCTTTGCGTCTGCTTAGACCCAAGTAAAGCTCAAGTCAAGACCCAGGTTTTGGATGGCCTTAAGTTTAGTAAAAACTAACCACCTTGGGTTTCTCTGTCTATAAGGCTCAAGTCTTCAGCATCTGATGATCGTGGATTTCGTAAAATCTTTTATATTTAAACTCTCGGGAATTATTTGAGGTGTCAAATTTTCTTAAATATATAAAATAAACAAACTATATAAATAATGTATTTGCATAAAGTTTGAATTTTTGAAATTTGCATCTCCTTGTCACAGCTGATTTGACGGCATTCTGCCTGCTAAAGCTTGCTAAACAGTGTCTCATTGGTCAAATCAGAACCAATCCTGACTTGGATTCTATCTAAGCCCGAGTTTGGGTTTTACTCGGGTTTAAGCTTTTAAAATCTCATCTCAGTTCTCGTTAGCTTACTGAAGTTAAGCACACTTGTACACAGTCTGTAACTGGATTGGTGTCCATACTGGTGTTCACGGGTTCGATTTCCGTACTCCACACAAACCTGTGGTTTCAAAACATCTGAAACCGACATTTAGTTAGGCAGTTATGACGGATATAGGAGGACAGAGAAGCGGCTGTCAACTACTCTTACAGCGAAAGGGTGCGTGCTTTCTACTCAACAAGAAATAAGCTATAAGTGAATTGATCCAAGGGACTGATGATGAAGAGAGGAAAGGTGGACAAGCAAGGAAAGTCAATGGTTGCCAGTTATAGGTGCTTGAGGTTATCCTATCCGGGCTTACAAATGATTGGGAGCAATTAGTGTGATGTTTCCTATCAGTAAGGCACCCAGACCTCATTCCAGTATATCAGAAGGATTCCTGCACTCTATATTCTCAGGCCTAAGAAGCTCTTAGGCATTTGGAATCTTGTCAACCATCTTCTCCGTATGAATGAAGCGTGGATCGTATCAACCTGATCATGTCTTGGGGACAAAACGATCTCCTTTAAAAAGTTTCCATAAATAAAAAAATGTTTTATATTAAATGCATTGAACAAATCTTCTTTTTCAGTTTTCTCTGCCGTCACCCCTTCATCAGTAATCACAAACAAGGTCCAAAAAAGCTTCATTATTTAAAATCTATTTTTTTCAATATTTTTTTTGCAGTTGTGTGATGAGGATCGTAAATGGATGGAACTAAATACAAAGTAAACTTTTTAGAATTGTACATGAAAGTAATTAAGTTTATTTATTTCTCATTATCAATTCATTGTAAATTACACGTACAATAAAGTAATCATCGTGCTATAATGTTAAATCAGCTGTATATTATAGCACCGTGCTATAATGTTAAATTAGCTTGTATATAATAGCACCGTGCTAAAAAGTATTCATCATGCTATAATGTTAAATTAGCTGTATATAATAGCACCGTGCTATAAAGTAATCATTGTGCTATAATATTAAATTAGCTTGTATATAATAGCACCATGCTAAAAAGTAATCATCGTGCTATAATGTTAAATCAGCTTTATATAAAGCACCGTGCTAAAAAGTAATCATCGTGCTATAATGTTAAATTAGCTTGTATATAATAGCACCGTGCTATAAAGTAATCATCGGCTAAAATGTTAAATTAGCAGTATATAATAGCACCGTGCTAAAAAGTAATCATCGTGCTATAATGTTAAATTAGCTTGTATATGATAGCACCATGCTAAAAAGTAATCATCGTGCTAAAATGTTAAATTAGCTGTATATAATAGCACCGTGCTAAAAAGTAATCATCATGCTATAATGTTAAATTAGCTGTATATAATAACACCGTGCTAAAAAGTAAGCATCGTGCTAAAATGTTAAATTAGCTTGTATATAATAACACCGTGCTAAAAAGTAAGCATCGTGCTATAATGTTGAATTAGCTTGTATATAATAGCACCGTGCTAAAAAGTAAGCATCGTGCTATAATGTTAAATTAGCCGTATATAATATTGCTAAAATGTCGGCTTCCTATTCTCTTGTTTTCTGGTTCTAATTTTAGTTTTTTCATCTAGAATAAAGCCCGGTGATATGGATTCTGAATATAACAAGTTTTATAAAAAATATCCAAAAGGAGGAATTTATAGACAGTAAGATTTTTAAAGCATATTTAAATTTAAATTAATAATAACTAATTATTTATTTACTGTTGTCAAAAACTTATAAAGGAAAATATTTTTTATAATTTTTTTTTAAAAATTTGTGCTTATGAAAATTTATAATCTAAAAAGTTTATTTTTCTCAATAAAAATATCAATTAAAATCATCTAATTTTAAAACCATAATTTATAGCAATTGTCAATCCAATAATAATATCAACACCAATATTAATTTTTTCTATTATTTTTCTTAGATATTTCAAACTATGAATTCTGCTCAAATATTTTAAGTCTGAAATATAAAACCATCCGGTTGCAAAGATATGGGGATTAGAAAATTTGAGTTTTGGCAAAGACTCAATTCCTTTTTCAGTCAGTTTGCAAATCTGTTTCCTTCAATGATGACAGTTCATTTCTGCGATCATGTATTCAGGTGATGACATTCATGATAACTACACACTCTCAAGCAAAAATCTATGAGAATTATTGCCAATTATTTCTTAAAACCAAAGCTAACAACAAGTGCTTTACAATGCTAAAATGACAATGTAAAAGGCAACAGAAAAGCATAAGTGAGTTAGTGCGATAAACTCAAAGCCGCGTTTACAAATGTTTTTAATTTTTGGTAAATTTTGAAAATGCGCGAAAAAATGCTTTTGAATTCGCAAACTTTTTTGTTTTATTTTGTTTCATATTGTACAAAGAGAAGATGCTCACAGATAGAGCCACAATTAAAGTAGAAATAGATGATGGGCGCAAAGCACCTTAAACGCCTAATTTTATAAATTCTGATTTGTTGTTTAGGACCCTAGATCTGGATGGAAACGGATATTTAGATTTTAAAGAGTTTATGATGGCAAACGATCTTGTGAATGCTAAAACTCCAGAGGATAAACTCAGCTGGGCATTTAAAGTGTAAGATTAGTATTATATCAATTGAACGAAAAATAATAGAGGAAGCTCATTTTCATTCATTCTCATGCTGAACGTTTATACTGTATTGCAAGTATACAAATCCTCGAAATGCGATAAGAACATTTTATTAATCTTTTATTCACCTGGCTCATGAAGAAGTAAAAGTGGTGACGATTAATATTCATTATTTTTTCTTTTTCTTTATCATATATATTTTATTAGAAGAGGATCATTCATTTGTCGTACTTTCCCGTTTTGGCTTATATAGTCTGTATTTTGTACTGTACCTCTAGCTGATTAAAGGTCGGGGTGGTACTTGAAATAAACCGGAGTGGTTTACCCCTTTTTTCATTCAGTTCATTTAAAAGATCAAAATAATTGTTAAAGGTTTATGGTAAAACATTTTAAAAGCTCTTTTATCTCAATTCAAATAAAATATAAAATAACATTATTACATAAATGAATATTTAAAGAAAACATAAAAATGCATATTTTGATACAAAAACATTCACAAATATTTACAGACCTAAATTTGATGGATAGAAATAAAATATATTTTTTTCCATGAATAGTTTTTGAAAGTAAATGAAAGTACAATTCTTAAGATTTGAGTCCTATCAGCGATTACAATTTTCATGCTGTATTTGATTTTATATTTAAAATTTTTTTGCAATTGTAATCATAAAAATACTTAAATTAAAGTTATTTTTACAAAATGATTACAGAGTTTCCCACAAAGAAGAAGTCTATTCATTGGTTATTTCAAGATAAGTCGTCTTTGAAATCTCATCCTTTGTGTAGTTTCTTCTTCCCATTTTATAAACATTCATTACTTTTAAAACATTTCATAGAATTTTGAAACCTTTAACGAACTTGACGTTATTCAAAATTTATATTTTTGATTCAAGAATTAGGACGTTTTATCGGGAGTGGATAAATTACGCCGATTTACATTTGGTAAATTTACACTGGGTCAACTTAAAGGGTGAGTAAAAAAGTGTGATTTGCGGCGCCTGGTGTTTTTTCAATATCTTTTAAAAATCTGTAATTTTTTTGTAAATCAATGGCCCAAAAATAAATCCGCGAAACTTTTTATCTCTCAAAATCAAAAGTTCAGAAATACAAAAATGTGTACGTATATAAATTGATTTATCGAAATCTAAAATTTGAAAAAGATTGAATAACGGAATCTCAGAAAATTTGCAAAATTTTAATTTGAAAATTTGCAATTTTCAGTTCTGGTATAATTTTTACAGAAAAATTGTTTTTTAATGGTTCTTAAGGTTTCAACTGAACACCGTATATTTAATACTTTAGAATATACTAAGAAGAAAGGAACTAGAGAATTTAAATAACTTTTCCTTAAAAACTAGACCAGAACTAAAAATTACGAATTTTCCTATTAAAATTTTGCGATTCTTTGATTCAATCTTTAAAAAATTTAGATTTCGATATAAATAATTTGTATACACATTTTGCTTTTCTGAACTTTTGATTTTGAGAGAAAAAAAGGTTCGCGCATTTTCTTTTAGGCCATTGGAGTACCGAAAAAAATTACAAATTTTCAAACAATATTGAAAAAACACCATGCAGGAGAGTTGCACAAAAAAGGTACACTTTTGACTCACCTTGCAGTACATTTCGTCAATTTACATTTGGTTAACCTTACATTTCGTCAATTTACATTTGGTTAACCTTACATTTCGTCAATTACTAAATTTAGGCAAGTTACATTTCGTTAATTGGTGTTTCTTTGTCATTATCCTTTCGTTGCTTTAGGAGAGTCTACAAAATTCTGAGAAATTTCCAAGAAATCAAAATTGAATTCTGTAAAAATTTAACTTTATTACATATACAAAAAAATTTTTAAAATTTATTTTGCTTCACGTTCAGGCAATTATATCTTCTGCCAGAGACAAAATTTAACAATTCATTTTGCATAATTTCAAAAAAGAAAGGAAATTGAAAACAAATTTTTGAATTACTTTAGACTTCTTGGATTTTTGTGAAATGCTTAAAAATGAATAAATATAACTCTATATAGGTATGATGTTGATAAGAGTGGAGCTATTGATCAAAAAGAGATGGTTCGAGTAATGAAATCTATTTATCTCATGGTCGGGCATACCGAGACCAATAGAGATGCTTTACAGGATCAGGTATAGGTTTAAAGGATCAGGTATAGGTTTATAGGATCAGCTATAGGTTTACAGGATCCGGTATAGGCTCACAGGATCAAGTATAGGTTTATAGGATCAGGTATAGGTTTACAGGATCAGGTATAGGTTTACATGATCAGGTATAGGTTTACAGGTTCAGGTTTAGGTTTATAGGATCAGGTATAGGTTTACAGGAACAGGTATAGGTTTACATGATCAGGTATAGGTTTACAAGATCAGGTATAGGTTTATAGGATCAGGTATAGGTTTACAGAATCCGGTATAGGCTCACAGGATCAAGTATAGGTTTACAGGATCAGGTATAGGTTTACATGATCAGGTATAGGTTTACATGATCAGGCATAGGTTTACAGGATCAGGTATAGGTTTGCAGGATCAGGTATAGGTTTACAGGATCAGGCATAGGTTTACAGGATCAGGTATAGGTTTACATGATCAGGTTTAGGTTTACAGGATCAGGTACAGGTTTACAGGATCAGGTATAGGTTTACAGGATCAGGTATAGGTTTTCAGGACAAGGTATAGGTTCACAGGATCAGGTATAGGTTTACAAGATCAGGTATAAGTTTACAGGACAAGGTAAAGGTTCACAGGATCAGGTAAAAATGGTTCATTTATATCTATTTATAGAAAAAATTCGTTAAGATAAATAATCTGCAACAAATCTTACAGTGGCCTGATGTTATTTTAATAAAATAAAGACAACTTTTTTTTAAAAATAAAAAGTGTAGAAGTAAACAGAGAGAAGCTGTTAATTGACAGCTTCTCTTTGTATCTATGTTTATGTGTATCTATGAAATTCGAAAGCTTGGCAAAAATAAAAAATTTAAATCTAAGTTTGTCTTTACGACGATCTTTACATTAATCAGGCTGAAGCACATGCTGTAAAACTGTTTAAAGCTCTAGATGTGGATGGGGACAAGGAACTATCAGAAGAAGAATTTATAAAGGTTTAATCGGCAGCATATTTCAAGTTTACAGTAGAACCCATAACACAATGGAATAGGAAGATAACTTTTAGACTCAAGTTTTGATTAAAAGTAGATAAATAAACATGAAACTCAGACCCGCTTCACATTATTAATTGACTTTCAAGCTACTAGTAACCATATTTGCTTTATACCAACAACTGAATTATTCGGCGTCAAACATTATAGAAGTCGCAAGGTATAGCAACAAGGTGTATTTTCCGGGAGAATTTTTTTTATATTTTTGAGAAATTAAACGTTTTGTAAAGCATTGTATTTGTAGCTTATCATTATCATTATCATTATTTCTATTTTTAACATACCCTATACACAATACAACTAGCTAGATTAATATGTACATTTGCACTGCTCTCTATTGTGTTATGTATTTATTATGTATACTGACAACCTGAATGAATGATTATATGGTTAAATAAAATTGCGTGTTACTATTAAAAAAAAACTATTATATGAAAATGACATGTACAGTTTTATTTTTACACAACTAAAATTTCTCTAAAATATAAAAAAAGTTCTCCAGTAATGATAATATGGTTTCATAAAATTCCGTGTTACCATTTAAATAAAAGGACTTTATGAAGATTATATCTACTTTACACTGATTATCTAATTTCTCAAAAATATAAGAAATGTTCGCCCGGAAAATACGCCTTGTTGTCAAATAAATTATCAAGTACAATAGGTGGCAACAGAGATATGAACAAATTATACATGACGTCACAAGTGTCAAATATAACAAGGAAAACAACATTTTCTCCCATTTGTTAACATGTTTTTCAAGATTAAATAAAAAAATGTAAAAACAGAATAAAAAAAGAACACAAACAATTGCACTTATTTAACTGTAAAATAAGCACTTTAGTCTAAAATTATTACTGTTATTTATAGTTTTGTTTGCAACAAAAACTGAGTTGACACTTATGACGTCAGAATACAGCTGTTTTGAGAGTGTACAAATTCTACGTTGCCATTGTATTAGAATCTATTTGCTTGGTGCTATACCTATCGATTTCTATACGTTGGATTTCTATAATGTTTGACGCCGAATTATTAAGAATACACATGTTTGCTTAAATGTCATCTTCCTCTTCAACAGTTTTCTGGATCTCATTGTATGTGTCTTTTTAAAACATTTTTTGACCCAAAACTTCACAATTTTTTACCTTAAAGGGATTGTAAAGAGTAAACATAAGTTCAAGTGACCCTATTTTAAAGAATTTCAGATTTACAAGGATATCCTTTTAACCATTGACTTAAAATTACCGGCAGAAAAATTAGTGTGTTTATCTCTAAAAATGGTGTTTAAATTGCCGAAAAACTAGAGTGCACAAAAGTGACCTCAACGCAATTAGCTGACTTAAAAATATTTCTCAAAAATACCAAATAGTCTTTGTCCAACAACACTGTTTTTAAAATATTTAAATGAAAATCCTTATTTTCTGCTACTTCTAGATAGTAAATATTGATTTACAATTACAATTACTTTTGTTGTAGAGAGATAAGAATAAGTCCGTTATCCTTGTTCGTTCAAAGGTTTAAAGGATATTGTTGTGAACTGGAAACTCAACGCTACATATGTATAGCGTGTCACATGAAATTACTTCTGCACAGTCCCTTTAATCCGTTTTTTTTCTTAAAGCTTTTAGTTGATTTGTAATGTTTTACTTTAACGAACAGTGAAAAATATGTTGATTACAGGGTTGCAAGGAGGATAAGGAGTTGATGGCTAAACTCCAGAAACTTGTTGAAGAACTGGTTCCAAAGAAGAAATAATTTAAGATTTTGTAAAAACACATCAAATAAAATTAAGATTGATTACATGTCGTCTTCCTTTTCAACAATTTTATGGGTCCAACAGAATTTAATTAAATTCTAGGAATTGTTAAGCTTTGATAATTTAAATACATTGTCTGTATAATTATATGGAAGGGCGGGCGGGTCGCGTCAGTTGTATCTCCCTTCTAATTGCATAGTCCTTGCTAATTCTCTATTCTTACCTAAACTGGAATAGTATCATAACGCGAGGTTGTTAAGAAATGTAGTGGGGGTGGGGGGGGGTCCACAACGTCCTTAGATTTTACTGACGATTGAACCTACAGGGTGTCCCACATCAAATTAGACCGCGTCACTGGGTCTAAATTACGATTTGGGGGACAAATCAGAAAATTGAAGAGGAATGAATCATTTTGAAAAACTTAATAAGGCTAATAGAAATTTTTTCATGCAGAAGATGCTAGATTTTTCGAGTATTATATGTGTATTGTGTATTTTGGCGTTAAAGATTGGAGAAAGTCTAATATGATATGGGACGCTCTGTATAAAAAAACTATATTACATAAAAATAGAATACTCTTCTAAACGTAAAGTATCATGTAAAGTATCATGTATCTGGCCAATAGCTAGATACATGATTAATTTCTAAATATCTTTATGAACAGTTTCACGGGTGCATATAATTTTAAGAATGATTTTTGATGATCTATGCAATAAGGGAGGAAAAATGAAAAAATTGGACATCAAAAAAGTTTATTTCTGATAATTCCAATATGTTCTCTTGTTGTAGAAATGCACAAGTTACTTTTGTAGAGAAAATCCCAATTAAAATAAACAGTTTACACATCTGATATCCTGAAATTAGCTGACAGTCCCTTTAAACAGTTTACACATCTGATATCCTGAAATTACGCTGACAGTCCCTTTAAACAGTTTACACATCTGATATCCTGAAATTACGCTGACAGTCCCTTTAAACTTTCAAGTTCCAATGGTAGTTGGCTCACACTGTAAATCTAAATTCTTAGGAAATTGGTGTTATTATAGAAAACAAGCAAGAACTAAAAAGACACACAAAAAAATTACACGTTCATCGAACCATTTTGTAGATCCATTTTTTAAGAGAGCATTTTTAAGCTTAGAAATTTTTTAGAAGTATTTTTTTAGGAAACCCTGAATATATATATATGATTGACCGGCGCGTCGGCTGGGTAAGGAGACTAATGACCATAAAGTGTGTAGTTCATTTTCATAAAATATTTCATGTGATAGACTGATAGTGCCGATCTTAACAGCCCTTTGGTAGACGTGTACTCTGTACTGTGTACGCAGTTCTTTTAAATAGTGAAAATTACTGTTAGTACAAAATTGTACTGCAGTGTGTTATGATGAAGCTTTTCACCTGTCTTTTCTTTATAATCCTTATCATGAAAATCACTCTAGAACACGCCATATTTAAGGTAAGCTATCGATTGTTTTTTTTATTGTTGAAAACGTTTATAGTTTAATAATTAATAACGACCTGAATCTCATAAGAAATGCCGGTTAAATTGGTATGTTGCTTTAAAACAATGTTTCCTTTTGCAAAATTCATTTTCGCAAACAAGTTTTTGCGAAATTTAGCATTTTTCGCTAAAATTTTCGTTTGCTGGAAACCCTACTATGTATCCTTCAATGCTGACGAAGGAATACCCCCATGACAGTTATTTAACAGATGATTTTGATCAACTCGTACTTATCTATAATGTTTAACAGCTTTGATTAGCTCGGGGAAAAAAGGAAAAATGGAACATGAAAGAAAGATTTTCACATAATTTTTCCTGTAAAAAATTAACAAAAGCAAATATTTCATAAGTAATAATTAAAAAATATATATCAAAATATATCTATGTTGATTCATTTAAGAAAAATGCACAAAATAATTTAATAAATCTCTAAATAATGTAAAAATTTTTTTCAGGAACCACCAAGTCGTGCTTCTATTGGACGATTGATGCCACAGTGCAACATACAAGCGGTATTTTTTTATTAATTTTTTTCTGAGTTTTTTTTAATTAGTTAGGATTTCTTTTATTAGTTAAATTATCATTTTAGCTCCGAAATAAGCATAATATACAAATAGATTCAGTCTGCTTGTAAACAATTTTGAAGACAGGGTCGACTATGAAACGTCGCTCTAACTTATGCTTTCTGTAGTCCTTTACACTTACATTGTAGCACTTGTCCTTAGCTTTAGTTTTTAAGAAGTAATTGGCAAAATTCTCATCGATTTTTGAATGAGAGGTTAAACTTATTTTAGAGGGGTCTATTTCTCTTGTCATAAATTGACTTTTTTAAGAATCACGACGACAATGGCGTTTATTGTGGGGGTCTAGGAGTTCAACATAATTCAATAAATCAGGTAAAGTTTGAAGACGACATTTCAAACATATAGAAAGACGACATTAAATAATGAATTACGATGAGAAAACAGATTTATTGATTGCAGGGAAAATGTGGGATTTGTGGAGATGTTTTCAGTGCCCCAGTTAAAGATCATCAAGCAGGAGGGAAGTAAGTGATTAATTCATATATTTTATATTATTATTATTATTGTTATTATTATTATTATTATTATTATTAATTCTTCTCCTTTACTTGTTTACTCGGACATAGGCACATGGAAACCTATAGCTCTACCCAGAAAAGAAGATGGAGGAGAAAACGGTATTTAATACCTGAAACCGAGAAAACCAACCAAGTTAATGATAAGGAGCAGAGACCCACCCTAGACGATGTGAGGTCCCCCCTGAAGGAGAAGAAACCCACCCTAGACGATGTGAGGTACCCCCTGAAGGAGCAGAGACCCACCCTAGACGATGTGAGGTCCCCCCTGAAGGAGCAAAGACACACCCTAGACGATGTGAGGTCCCCTCTGAAGGAGCAAAGACCCACCATAGACGATGTGAGGTCCCCCCTGAAGGAGCAAAGACCCACCCTAGACGATGTGAGGTCCACCCTGAAGGAGAAGAGACCCACCCTAGATGATGTGAGGTCCACCCTGGAGGAGAAGAGACCCACCCTAGATGAGGTGAGGTCCCCCCTGATGGAGCAGAGACCCACCCTAGATGATGTGAGGTCCCCCCTGAAGGAGCAGAGACCCACAATAGATGAAGTGAGGTCCCCCCTGAAGGAGAAGAGACCCACCTTAGATGAAGTGAGGTCCCCCCTGAAGGAGAAGAGAACCACCCTGAAGGGTGTTAGATCTTCATGGAAGGAAGGAGGACGCCGTAAACCTAAGAAGGATGTATATCCCCCTAAAATAGGAACCATAGTGAAATATTTGGAACTTATTCCCCAGCTGTATGGAGGTTGTACGCCAGACATACACGTTCCTACTCCTGGTACACTGCGTATACTCTTCCAGACTGAACCCGAATTTAAGCTTGATAAGGAAGAACAAGAATCTGATCCTAAACCACCCCTTCCTCCACCTAATTTAATCAATTCAATATTCGGGTATTGTCAGGATAAAAACTGTTCTTTGTGTCCAACAAAATCTACAGTAAAAAGCTTCCCCCAGAAGGATGACTCGAGAGCTAGTTGTCAACTTATTCATTGGCATTCTAAAAATAACCAATGTCTACAAGCTCCGGAAGACGACTTCAAGTGAAATAAATATTAAAAAGTAATAATATAAGTATTGTTATTATTTATAGGTTTTCAACAGGAACTATTGCACGAAGTTATCGTCCTGGAGAAATCATTTCTGTTGAAATTGATTTGGTTGCAAATCATCTGGTAATTAATTAATTATTCAATCATGAATAAAATCGATCAGATCATTATATTAATTAACCAATCGATAAATGTATAAATTACACCTAAAAAGGGGATCATTAACTGGAGAGTCAAAATGTCCAGTTGCCCTTAAATTAAAAATGTGCAAGTCCAATTTACAATGAAGACCTCTTTGTCTTAGAAAAAAAATTATTTAGTCATCTCTTTTTTTCTGGTTTAAAACTATGTTTTTTTTTTCAATTGCGGTTTTCTAAAAAATTGCAGATTAACGGAAGGAAGAAAAGACAAAAATAACAAAATCTTCCTCATGTTCAACCAAATAAAGAAAATTGAATGTTAAAAAACTTGGTTATCAATCTAATATATTAATCATGCATGAGGGAAAAGGACAAATTAAAAGATATTTTTAGGGATTTTTTACGTTCGCAATTTGTCCTCATAACAATATTCATACCTCACCATCAAGATCTTGTTTCATTAACAATCCCTTAACAGGTTACTATTTATATTTACTTTGCTTGTATCCAATAAACGTCAAAACGGCTGAACCGATCAGGCCCAAATTTTGTGTTGGTTCTCACTTTTCAAAGAGAAGATGCTCACAGATAGAGCCACAGTTAAAAGTAAAATAGAAGATAGGTGCAAAGATCCTGCAAGGTGCAAGGATCTTAAAAGACTGGTTTATTCATATACATGTGAGACCCATACAAATGTGGAATGTACTGTACTGTACTGTACTGTACTGTACTGTACTTTACTGTACTGTACCTTATTGTGAATCGTCTCTTGCATTTGTTTATTAAATAATATTTAAAAATCATGATTATTCTTTTTTAATAAATATTTTTTATTACATTTTGTCAAGTTTCCATGTAACATTTAAAACATAGAGAATAGAATATATAGAGATGAATTTACTAGGAAAAAGTGTAAAACGGCCATTTTGTTGTACTGTTTCCATACTGCAGGTGTACTTCACATATTTATGCTATATAACCTGTTGGGCCCTGGAATATCATTTTATAGAAAATCGAAAACTATTGTTAAAAGAAAACCAAATTATGAAATAGGCTGGTTTCATAATTGACCAATGATCATTTCACATAGTATCCTCAAAGTTCATGTCCTAGCTCAGTACATTAAAATCCTCAAAGTTCATGTCCTAGCTCAGTACATTAAAATCTTTAAAGAAAAAAACTAGGAAAAGTGTTTAATCATTTTCCCTAAAAAAGGCAACAACTGGGGATCTGGTCCTCAAAGTGC